TTTCGCGATGTTACTAATCAAACTTATTGGCCGGTAATTGATAATTTCATCAGTTTTTCCACTTTTGAATAGTGGTTTTATAATTCCAAGTTTGAGCGCTTTGGGCCATGTTCCGTCCTCGATTATTTTATTGATTAGAAATGTGAGGAGATCGGATAATTCATTGCTAATTTTTTTGAGTAGTTCTGCCCTAATCCCGTCAAATCCAGGAGCTTTATTATCTTTCAACTCGTGTATTATTCTGACTAATTCTTCTTTCATTACAGGTGACAAAAACATCGAAGACTTAACTCGAGGTCCTTTCAAAGGTTGAATTGGAACAGTATTGATCATGTCTGCGAGTTTTTTACCTAATGATGTGTAATGTTCATTGAATGTATTTGCTATTTCAAATTGATCAGTTATTGTTTTATCCTCATGTTGTATCTGTTTTATTGTTCTATGTTTTTTTTTTCAGATGATAACTCCTTCACAGTATTCCAAATTGATTTGCTGTCCCCTTTACCACTCTCGATCTTATTTTTATAGTACGCAATTTTTGCATTTTTTATCAGTGTATTGACCAAATTTCTGTATGTCAAGTATTCATTTTTCATGATCTCGTCGTTGTTATTCTTTTTATATCGTTCCTAATCAGTGTGTCCATCACTACTATAAAACAAATAATTTCATTTTCTAATGATCTCATACACTTCCTTATATAACAATCAATCAAAACTTTGTATGAACTAATTCAATGTGACTGAAGTGTCAATGTCGAATTGATTTTCGTTCTATAACCCTAGATCATGTTAAACCTTAGATCATATGTAACACAATGATTTGGATCGAGACTCGAGAGATAGACCACTTGAAGCACAATTTTAAGAACGACGCTCTCAGATATATGTGTTCGTGGATAAAATCATATATATCTTGGGAGCAAATGTGGGAGGAAATGGATACCTTTGCTCCCTCGATATATAAATAGCTATTACCTATTTAATGATATATCTGTTTGAAAAAAAAAACACCTCCTGCCACATTTATTGTAAAACGATGTACTCCTGCCAAAGACGTGATGATATGAAAAAGAAAATACTCATACTGCCAGCTATTTATAACCTGGTCTCGGCAAAAAAATCAAACCGTACGTTCTGATTTCTGAACCAGAAACCGACTATTTCCGAGGGCAAGTACTTTTCGTCCTCAGCAGGGTTGCTAGTTCTACCTAATTTTCAGTAGATCTCCTGATTTGCATATTGATCTACTGATCTGCTGAAACATTTCATAATCTACTGAAAAATATTTTGACACTTATTTATTATTATAATTACCTATAATATCATTAATCTTCAGTTAATCACACACTAATACCACTTATAAATTGCATGATGATTCGGCATGCTCTGTTTAAATTAATTTTACATAATGAGTAATGAATGTATATGTACATATAGGTATACTAATGATATGTATAAACCAAAAACAGGACAAGACTTCATCTGATTCAGATCAAGTTCAATCTTTTATATACCTCTGTTATAGCAGTTTGTTTCTAACGTTTAATTTTTTCATTTGTTTTGTATTCCTGCTGTTCATTTTTACTTTTCATTCCTGTTTTTATATACTCAAATCTCATAAATGGTAACTGTATTTTGTGATAATTGTGAGTATTTTCAAATTGAGAATCAGGAATATGATTATTTTTGTATGAGTATGTTCCTATTGTTTTTTTTCTATTATGTCGGAAACAGATTACTTTCCTGTTAACTCAAAGTATATAATGTTTTGACGTCACAGGTTTATTTCATTATCCTTTCTTAGAATTCGTGTAGCATAGAATAGATCTTAAACAGAAATATTGAAATCTACTGAATTTTTGGCAGGGTATTTACTGATGGAATAAAAATCAAACTGGCAACCCTGGTCTGCGCGGAGAGTGAGTTGAAAACAACTGTCATTTGCTGTTGTAAAATAAATTATTCATGAAATCCGAAAGAATTCACATGTGAATAGGACCGTGATGTGAATATAAGTGTTTGAGATCGACGAAAAAATGTAATTGCACCTCGGCGAAAAACTGTCTATTTGCTTGCCTGATTGCTAGCCTCGGCTATCAATTTTCAGACTCGACTATAATAGACAGTGGTTCGTCCTTGGTACATGAATAACTATAGTTTCATCTATTTCCTTTCATTTTTTTTCAATTTATGATTTCACTGTGACAATACAAAAATATTGATTCAAATTGATTATATGTATTCATTTTTGTCATATTCATAATGATATATCTGAGAATATTCCTTTTCAAAGTATCTTATCATTTTTTTCATCATAGAAAACGCACATTTATTTGTGGGTGGTGATCGCAAAAATTTATTTAACCGTCCGTACTCCAACAGAGCAAGAAGCGAACTGAACTAATAAACTAATGTCTAAATAGCGGATCATTATTGACCACAACAGTGAATGCTTCCACAGTATTTTTCAAATTAATTACTCCAGAAACGAAAATATAGTCTATACCAACTTAAAAGGTAGCATTGGTAACCATAGGGAAGCCTTGACCTTTGCTTTGATTAATTAATATCGGAGGCAATATTACACCTGCCCAGTGACGGCTCGTCAGGGACGGCAGGGTCGGCCGGGCCGTACCAAATAATTTGGGGAAAATTACTGATCTATTTGATGAATAAAATTATTTTCCGAAACTGTTTTCATAATTCATCGTTCATTATCCTACTGTTATGCTACTATTATTTGAATTTCATTCACTGGAACCTTTGAGTATGCCATCCGCATATACACCGAAAATCACGAACTAATTCAGGACCTACGACATCTGGTAATCCCATCGTCAAAACGCCGCTTTAAGTTGAAACGCTCGCGTAGCTCATTACACTGATGCAGACGGCCGGCCGATCGGTGGTTTCTTGTCTCGACGCACGCATCGCCTACAGATTCCCCTATTCAAGTTTAAATTCTCGCGTATACGCGTCACGCGTCATACCTTGGGTGCGGCCAAGCTCTGCTGGCCGTCCGTACGTACGTAATCAGTAGTATGCAGTGCGCTCGCTGTGCACCGTATCCGACCATTCCGACCTAATTTTTAATATACGGATTGGCATGATTGACATTCTATTTTTTTTTACATTGTAGGTATTTATAATTTTTATTCCTATACTTATTTGTAAGTTGATGTTGAAATTTGAAATGTACAAACTGAAAAAAAAAATAATTTCGATTTTCGATGTTTTTGTTCACGCTTGCAGTAGTTGCAGTAAAAATGACTGGTGATTTTTGAATTTGCAATTTTTCAGTAATTCATAATTCAACATATTCATCTAATATTGGTATCAGAATTTTCCTTCAGTGCTTCTGAGCGTCAATAAGTTATAATTCAATTTGAATATTGTAATGTAACCTACTGTGCCTCTTCCGATGTAGGTAATATGGCAAGAAAAATGTCAGCAGTAGCAGCTGAGTAGGTATTGAAACATCGTAAAAAAGCTCTGGTGACGAAAATGTAATAAATGTATAACTTCCAGAATATCATTTATGCATCCATCGCGGGAAATATTATACCTACGGCTGCACGGCGGGCTCGGCCAGTGGGGTGGCTTGTTACAGGAACGGCGTAGACACTGTAGACTAGTGTAGACAGATTAGTCCTTGTTGTGCTTTTCGTGTAGGTGAGTGGTTGTCGGTTATGTTGATTTTTTTGAGTTCACGTTACGTTTTCAACAGAATATAAATATTTCTTGTTCACGGGTTATTTTATTTTCTTTTATTTTATTATTTCGACTTTCTTGTTATTATTTTTTCATACCAACTAACCCTTATCCACCTCCTTTTCCTTTCCCCATTTTCCCTGGCCAGAATGCTCTAACCTCCTCGTGGTTCTTGCTGGACAATTTAATTTTTTGGTTATGTGTATAGGTACATGCTTATTTGCCATCGAACTTCACTTATGCCGCTGACCCAACGTGTTACGTTCGCCTTTCTCTCTTTCATTTTAATCCAAAAAATTAAGTTGACGAACTAGAGCAATATCTATACCCTGGCCGACCCAGGTTCTGAGGGCACGAGCCGTCACTGCGTGACCTGCCCAATATTATGACAAGTGATGTGTCGTAAAGAATGAAGTTTTCTTTGTGGGAAGATGATCACATCATCACATTCCATCTATTTCTTGTATATTTTAGATGTTACAATAAGTACTGAAAATAAACACGATCCCAAAGTGGAATTCATTCATTAGAATGGCCATTATTTTGAATTAGGCACCATTATTTATTTCATCAGTGCAAAGATTCTTTCAGAGGCAGCGCCACCTACTGTGCTCTTATTTGGAACGTAGTATAGTTGGAGTAAGATTCGAACCCGGATTTTGCCGGTACAGGCTGTCTCCTTATATTCTGCCCCCTACCTACAGCTTCAACTATACGAGGTGGAAAACATCTTCAAATATGAAAGTTGTAGGGTTCTATCTGTTCTATCTTTTGGCACTCCTTGAACAAACAGACTGATACGAATTGCAAAATAGAAAGAAAGAGTCCAAATCAGTTTTTTAAATTGAAATATCCTGTTGCTGATGTTCCCTTTAGCCGTTTTTCATCCATTTAGCTTTTACTATATTGAATCAAATTTGGCAATAGATAATATTCAGATGGCCGTGGACAGAACAGAAATGTCATGGAAACGTTTTTAACATCTCTGTCGGTTCCTCTTGTCCCTCTAATGAAAATGGGTTATTTGTAGAGGAAAAATTCGAATTAGTAATGTTGTATTATGAAGATATTGCGAACATTCCAGTAGTGCGGCAAGAATTTAGTTGAAAAGACAGTTCAGATTCTGTTACAATTACTGACTTTTTACATCATACAATTATTTCCCAGTATGTAATAAATCAGATGAAAACTTTATTTTTCAACATCTGGAATTTTTGTTTTTGTGATTTAGATTTGAAGCGTTATGTTTATTTAAAATTTTATACAAATCTATTTATTTCTTTCCAGATAATAATCATTTATTTGGTTGTGGATGGAACAAATACAAACAACTTAAAAACCTAGAAGATGAGAACATTTCTGTATTCACTTACCTTCATGACTTTGAACAAGATGAGGTGGTGGATATCGCATGTGGCCCATGGAATTCTGCAGTTATTTGTAGGTAACAAGTAAATATTATAGTCATGTTCAAACGAATACATCCAGATGCGACCTTGTTAAAAATATATAGAACATTTTCGTTCGACCAATTTTATTCCTCCATGATGTATCCTCTAATTTGATCTTGACTTGATTGAATAAAGGTTTGAGCAATATTGATCTTTTTGTGGGCATTGTGTGTGTATTGTATATCTCCTCAATAATTCATCCTGCAGAATCAATAGTTATTATCTTTTGTTATATTTTTTTCATCATCTCTTGATACATATCTAGACACGCAGTGGACTGCATTACATTTTCATTAATTAGTTCATGAAGATATTGAATTCCTCGGCCAACCAATTATATGTATGAAATAGAGAATGGGTTTAAAATACAAGGTGATTTCAAAGGTGATGTATTTTTTCAACTAGATGAACAACTCATCAAAATGAACATCTACTCTAAAAATTGACTTCATTCAAGTCACTTAACAATGGAGTTCTTAACAATGGGAAAGTGGACTATCATTTTTATTTTTTGAAAAGAATCATTCGGTCGATTTTAATATCCTAAAATCATCAACAATGCCACGGTAGTTTTCAAACGGCAAGAAATTTGCCGCTAATAGCAACTGACGTCACCATTTCGTAAGTAGGGGCAGACAATAGCACAGTTGCCATGTGTTTAAATACGATTGGGACCTATTATTTATTCAATAATTCATAAATTCTGAATTATGTATTGCTAATTTTCATAATGCGCTATAAAAACCAATTGTATTAAAATTTTTAATTTATTTATTATATCAATAATTATTTTGATTCAATGGACATTTGGTCCAGTAAATGTGACAACACGTCAAGGATTGTGGACGTTGTCTTGTAAGTTCTCAGCATTCAGCACATATGTTTCCAAGCCTTCAACCAATATTTACATGATATTTTGCTATAAAGTATGTTATGAAGACAAGCTGGTTGCTCGAAAAGGTGACAAATGAATAACTATAATATCGTGGCTTCCTCCTATTAGGTGAAATGAAATATTCAATTTGGATATAGTTTTATCAAACGTCAGGACTCTGAAAACTTTTTAATGACTTGATTATAATTGGTGACTTGAAAACCTTGCTTCATGAATAGCAATGGAAGATTATCTGATCAATAGGTAAACAACATCACAACTGACGTCACCATGTATCGACATATCCCAGAATATGGCCAAATGGCTGCCATGACGGTACATTTGAAATGAGCTCTGAAATTCATTTTTTTCGTACAACGCATAGACACATTATTTATATTAAAAACGCATAAGAAGTGTTGTAAAAATTAATTCAGTCCCCTAACGACGAACTGAAGTAATTGGATGCCAATGGGCGAGTGGACTTATAATGAATTATTGACATTCAATTACTTTACTGTGTCGTTAGGGACCTAAATTTTTGCAACACTTCTCACTTCTTTTAGGTAAATAATGAGTGTATATGTTAAAAATGGTTGACTTTCGGAGCTCATTTTAAACATACGGTCATGGCCACCATTTCGTGATACGTCAAATAAATGGTGATGTCAGCTTTTATGCTGTTTCGTTATTGGACCAGTGAAATCCTTCTAAAAAAGTGAAATGTTAATTTTTCTCATTCGTTTTCAGTCCGGGCTTGTTCGGAGTTCACAGCCAAAGTTATAATTCCTTAGTTCACTCTAGATTCACCTTCTACTCATCGTTTTCCTCCAAAATGTTTAATAATTGCTTTAATTCAAAAATAGAAATAATTTGAATCGTTTCAATTGTCCATATAGATTGCAGAACCATAATCCTTATCAATGTGAAACTAATTTGATGAAAATTCGTCCGAAGGAAACTTCCCCACTCACAGAACCACTTCGATTGTTGGTTGCATAGTTATGGCGCTTGATCATTACTGAAGAACCTAGAATCCGCTAATGCTCCAAAAAGGATCTGCATGGTTTCGTAATTATATAATAGATAATATACCGGGTGGCTACGGAAGTATTGCCTACGGAATATCTCAGTTATTGTATGAAGTAGGTATGTGAAATTTGGAGCGTCGATATAATGACATAAGAGCTAGAATTTGAGCATATTGACATGTCGAAGTTAAATTCCGGTCTGACCGGAAGTAACATCAACTTTCTTATTTTAAATGGAAACCCTATTTTTTTTTCTTCTCGTTCCATTCAGCATTCAATTCCCTTTCTAATGACATATCACAAGTTGGTATCTAACCAGAAACTAGATCAGAAAAAAGTATTATTGAAATTCACCGAGTAGGCCGTGGAAGCAAAATGAAAGACAAAAATTGAAAAGTTGGCTATGGAAACCATACGTCACTTGATAACAGTTGCTACTACTGTGATATTTTATTTTCATTCGTCGGCGTTATAAAAGGCCGCCAAAAAAAATATTGGAAAAATTGGGAAAAAAACAATACTCTGTAGGTCCATAACTTAAATAGGAACATGCAACTTTTTCGTGCCTGTACTATTCAGCATAACCATTCCTTTCTAATGATATAATAGAAAGTCATTTTTTGGCTTTCATTTTGCTTCCATGGCCTACTCGGTGAATTTCAATAATAATTTTTTTCTGATCTAGTTTCTGGTTAGATACCAACTTGTGATATGTCATTATTGTCATTAGAAAGGGAATTGAATGCTGAATAAAGCGAAAAGAAAAAAAATAGGGTTTCCATTTAAAATAAGAAAGTTGATGTTACTTCCGGTCAGACCGGAAGTTAACTTCGACATGTCAATATGCTCAAATTCTAGCTCTTATGTCATTATATCGACGCTCCAAATTTCACAAACCTACTTTATACAATAACTGAGATATTCCGTAGGCAATACTTCCGTAGCCACCCGGTATAGTTGACAACACGGTTGACTGATGCGAATGAACTTTTTTCACTGTAAAAAAATAGATCCTGCATTTTGATGGCTCATCATTCACTAGTAGGTATCTATCTAATGGGGAAGTTTTCTTCCCTAGAATTTTCATTAAATAAGTTCGCTTTACAGAATGGCGACCGATAAAGTCCAAGTCGTTGTCATTTTCAAATTGAAGCAATTTCTAATTATCGGGGCGACAAAATGTGTGACTGAATCTAGTCTGAAAATAGCTGATGGTGAAGAATATAGCTAACGAATAGCATACCAATGAAAAAAAAAAAGAAGTAAAACTGGTAAACCAAAACATATATAACCACAAATGCACTCGGAGCAGGAATACAGGGGGTAGTTGGCTCCATTCTGACAGGTTATGGTTTTGTTATTTATGCATTGAAATATCTCTAATAGAGGTCGATCCTAAACGAAAATATCATTGAATCAATGAATCACTATCGGCTACATTCAATGATACTATCCTTCCTAATTTACTGTCATCGGTCAGAACAGAAGGAAGCCGACACCCATGGCCCCTTCCTCTTGTTGTGCCTGTCAGTATTTTGAATGGTGTGGACGAACTCGAAGTATTAGGCGCTGTTGCAAGAAATAATCTGCAACTTTCCTAGAAAATAGATCCGTTTTATCAAGGAACGAATTCATTAGCGAAAAAATGACTGACAAGTTATAAATAACATATTGTAATATAACGATAGTGAACAATTATAGATACTATCGCAAAATATCCTAATTTATCTATTAGTAACCAACTTCATTCGGCAAATGAGAGATGCATGGGAATTATTCATAATACTTGACAATTGAAGAACCTATTATATCCCATTGCTGTTATGATATAGTTATTGTGCATTCAAAGAACAATTTCCGGAAATCTAGACATATTGATGATGTTGGCAATGTCGTACTGGCACAGGGAATCGAATTTCAACTCTGTGTGAATGTGGATTTTCAAAAAGTACGTCATAGGAATGGTGGAGGAGCCAAAATCCTCTTTTATTTATCTTTTTCTGAAGTGAAATGTGATCTCACGAAAAAAAAATACATATATATTAATTTTTTACAAACTTCACAGTGAGATAAGAACTTCAATATATGAAACTTCCCCATTATATATATATATATATACCTTTTCGACTTGACTATGTTTTGTAAACAGTGATCATCAAGTAACTAATTTCATACACGTTTATCACAATAAATGACGTGTGTAATGAACTACGATTATTTTTGTAGATTGGCTCAATGATTAGAGAAAAAATATCGACATATATTATAAACAAGGACAGGGCTTAGGTGAAGCAATTAAACAATCCTCAACATTTTCATGTACTCCACAGTATAATAAATACTGGTATACTTCAGAATTACATTATAAATATACAATGTGTATGGTATTTTTTTGTATTTTTGTGGTTTTAAAATATTTTCTGAAAATAACAATTTCCCACAAAGCAATTGTTCAAACATCTAACTTCATAATAATAAAACATGATTTACAAGTCACAGATATTTTACGAACAAGAATGTGTTGTATTTCGGGAATAATTTTGGACTTGATTGCCGAATTATATGAGTGAATCGAATTGTCCAACATTTTTCCCTTACATACAAAATACAACAATTTGATATAATATATTCACGCTAAAAGGCATTTATAGTCACATTTTTTGTGAGACAATATCCTGCTAAAAATACTTGAGTGATGTCATAAAACGCAACAAACTCTCTAATATTTTTATCAGGTTCATTTTGAACACAAAAATTGTTTCAATTTCGATAGAAACAATTTTTGTGTATGGAACAGAATTGTTAACCTAACATATTGTCAAATAATGGAATATTTAAAGTTTCGAAATCAGAATCATCCAACAAACTTTATGCAATAAAAATGTACCAATGTTGAATATTAAGGAAATAATATGGTGAATCAATATCAACATTTTATGATATCGTGTTTTGATATTTCGGATATGAATTGTTATTTTTTGGTCCCAGTGTATAATTCAACGAAAAAAATTTTTTTTTTATAATTATGGCATATTTCAAAATTGTGTTCTCAAAATTATTTTCTTAAGTAACCATATTTTTTGCATACTTCTAAAGTATTTTTCAGTCTTCATCGATTTTCTACCAATCACATTTTTAATGTTTATTCTTTAATAATTCTTCCTACCAATTTAAGCACAATTTCACATAAGTTCGACTAGACAAATTAAATTGATTTCAAATAAATCATGCACCTCAAACAGGTACAAATCTTTACAAATAATTTTCATTTCAGTGAGAAGACACTTTTTGGTGTTAGTGCATTTTCTTCTAATTAATTGTGTTTTCTTAGTTTCATTCAGCTATACTACTTCTCATCAATAAATAAACTTTCGAATATATTAACATTGTAAATTAGGCTTTGGAAATCAATTTGAAAATGATTCTAAATGCTTTGAAAAATATATTATTTTTCACATACATGCGCATCTGATGTTTCTCACTCATTTGATTATAAGAAAATAAATTAATATCATTATAACCGTTCATCTGACAGAAAATGCTTGATTTAAAAAAAAACATGGTGTATTTGTTATATTACCGCCAAAGTTATTGAAAAATTTTGTTACGCGTTTTTAAATATGCCATGATATTCCTGTTTGAACTGTATTTTGCTACCACAATGAAGACAAGCTTGATGGGGTGTGGGAGGGGAAAAATTTAAGCTACACATACTATTATATACTAAGTAAAGTTTCTTAGACTACATTAGTTAAGTGCCGTCACCTTGTATTAGTGTTCTCATTTACAAAAAAACTACACCGGGTAAATACGAAAATCGGTGCTTCTAAATTCGTCTTCTCATTTTCCAATGAAATTTCTGAGTTCTGGAGAATGCTCCTCAACTGGTATATTTCTGATTGGAAAATTCTAGATGAATTACGGAATTCCAGTTTTCGTGATCTTCCTGTATAGTGGGTATTTAAACCTAACCTTGTACTGTAAGTGTCAAAGTTTGACATATAATAACTACCAACTATTTAAGTATACACTCTGTATGTCAAAAAATCTACAGCTGGAACTGGGTGTTTAAAAGTGTCGTTTCCATTGATAGGGAAAAGGGCAATTAGAGATAGGGATCGTGATTGCTAGCTTTAGTATCTATTTTTGCTGATCTTTTTATAGATATCAACATAGAGTTATCTTGTTCCTGTAAAACTCAACAGTTGCAACATAATAATTGAAAATAATAAGCTAAAACTTGGCATTCACAAATTGATTGAATCGTACAAATTCGAACAGCGTCGTCAAAAATACAGTGCACCAAATTCTTTTTTTATTTCCCTGTAATAATTGAAAATCAATCTTGTTTTATTAAACTTTTGAAAAGGAAATAGATGAAAGAGACATTCCTATGTGATTCTATTTGAATATCTAAATACATTATGAGAATATTATGGGACACGTTCTGTTTTGAGGACACCAAAGAGATATATAGTAAAACAATAAGAAAAGGTTTATTCATCAACTATAAAAACTGAGAAATTCAACATTTTTTTGGACATAGTTGTGGTGTTCTGAAAAATTTAATGATGCTCTATACTTGAAACAGGTGTTAGAGAAAATCTCACAATATTATTTAAATTCATCTATGTGTATAAAAAATTATACACATTTGAGATACCCTCAGTTAGTTCAAAAGATGAACGAGTCAACTTCTTGGTTGTGAATTTAAATGTCATGAAAATATATGAATCTATTTACCTGATGACATTTACATATATTCAACTTTGTTAATATTCAATTCATGGTATAGTTGAGTTTATAAACTCATCATTACCGGAAACACTTGGAAATGTGAGGTGAAAATATCCAAAGAGAAACAACGAGAATAGTGAAGGGTAAAAATATATAGTGGCTGGAAATAGAATGATACATTGAAAATCCTTCGTTAAAATTCATTGAACATTTTTCCGATAATTATGTTTTCGGAAATAGAACTAAAACGTGTCACTAATGAATGAGAGACAATATGATAGAGGATGCACATTCCAGTCAGAATTTGGCATTGTCTGCATAACTCAAATGCATTAAAAGTTGGTGAAAACGACTAAAACCATCCACCCATGAGATAAAATTCCAAAAATATAGCAACACAAAAACAACACAACTCTACATAAACATATCAACTGTTCAAAATTATGCTTTGTCTTCAATGTGGTTAAATGTGGGGAAATTGTATGTACTATTGCTGATTATGGGTTTGCTGTAAAGAAAAAACTGTTTATGAACAAACTAAACTTGTTCAGAGGTTTCAACTTTTCAATATCAGCTAGCACACAACATTCACGTGTGCTGAAGAGTTCTATATACACGATATTTAAAGCGAAAACTTAGGATAAAATCTTATGTCCCTAGCTTGTAACTAAAAAATATTTAACAAATACGTCTGATATAAAAATCATTATAATTATGTGTGTATGTAAAAAAATATTTAGGAATTAAAGTCTTATGGTTGTGAAAAGAGTTAAATTCTGGAATGATACATATAATAAGACCTTGGTCCATTTTTTAATGAAAATACTGACACTTGGGTGCAATGAAATTGTAGAAAAAATATGGGAATATTAAAAGTAGGTACCTAAATAGATTAGGTCATCTCAAGTAATGCCAAATAAATATATTATGATCTCATCATCCTAGAACTACTACTAACACATATTCAACAAAAAATAATAAAAGACAATATAAATTAACTAATTTATCAGGCATTACCAAAATGAACTAGTCTTCATAATAATAAAAAAAAAACAGTAAGGAAAATCCAACAATGTACAAATTAATATCTTGACTAAACATAATAAAGAAGTTTGTATCTCATACAAATATTCAATAACAATTCTAGAACACAATATTTTGCTTTATCATGATTCTTGCTTCAGAAGCAACTCATCAAAGAGATTTTCCAACATTAAAAAATATCGTACTTTACGCGTATACTTTTAAGGTTATTTTACACTGTTGACTTTAACATTTGGACCGCACTTATACAAAAACGGAATAGTGTTGAGAAAAGGAGGTGTCTTCATAACAAATTATCACATTAAAAAATAATGTTTTGTTTTTTAACACTACATATAGAAAAAATTGCACAGAATCGGTGGCACACTTGCATTATCTGAAATATATTTTTGGTACATTGTTATACTATAAGCCAGAATATGTTTTTGTTTGCTCAGCTCCAAAACCAGCCTAACCTCTATCTGAATTTGAACATACAATTTGGCGAGTAGTTTGATTATTAAGAGGTAAAAAGTGAGGTTATATTCACGTCAAGTTAAGTTAGTTTTCGAGAATTGAGCTGTTATGCTGTTGCATTGCAAGCGCAAAACGTGAGACACACAAACATCCAAAACAGTGTTTTTAAAACCTTAGAACTACGAGGGGAAGCTCTCAGCTTCGAAAACTTAACATTTTTCCATTTTGAAAAAAAAAGATGCATTCCGATGATCTAAGTGGCCGCTGGCCGAGATCACAAATCTCTTTATAATTCATTTGTGGCGAATAAAAAATCTGGCACATATATGGTTGGAATGTTTGGTTTTGAAGGCACCCCTCAGTCCCGAGTTGTTCATTTTGATTCTGGCATCAGCTAAAACTATTCACTGGTTTTAGAACAAAATGGGACTGGGTGGCGATCTCAAACGATATGTTTGTAAAGCATACCCACATTATATACAACATACTGCATTTATTGGTCCAACTTAAATATGTGTTTTTGCTGTAAAATCTGATTTGGTTCGGGTGGTACCTAACTATGAAAACACTATTCGAACCAGAATCGTATAACCGTCGGGTATATTGAAAAAATATATTGATTGTATTCAAAATACAAGGACTTTAATCATACAGATTGGGAAAATGGGTAATACTTATAATGGAATACGATATTTTTGTTGATTCGTGAGGCTATCATTTCTTTCTAACCTAAGATTGCCTTAGGTTAGGTTGGTTACTCATTTTGGCATCAACATGATACCAGTTTAGATCATCTTACCATGAGCCAATTTTTCCGGAACCACTTGAGACAAATACACGAAATTTTGGTTATTTGTACCAAAAATATACAACATGGCAAGAAGTGAATATTTAATGCATATACAAATTTAATATTCCCGACATTCTCTTGTTTGTCTCAAGTGGTTACTGTTGCTGAGCCATGATAAGACCTCCTGAACACTGGACTATCCTTGATTTGACTAATAATTCTCTCCAACATTCTTCCATAAGCAAATCATTGCGACGAATGAATACTGAAATCTGGTGAATACTGCAGCAGGAACGATACTACATGATCTATCTAGTGGGGCAAAAATTATACCACTTCTAAATATTTATTGAATAATCTATAAGTACTTATCATGAACTGATTAGGAAAAGACAATATTTATAGATTTTCTGATCCATACAGACATCATTAATGTAAAGCAATATGAGTACCTACACAACATAGGAATCATTGGAAATCCATAAATTTGGTTATTGAAGATAGTACAGTGGAGTATATTGAAGTTCTCCTATCGTTTAGAACTCTCTGAAGAGTATCTTGTTGGAAATATAGGAATTATAATCAATTCAAATACATTTAATGTAGAATGAAGATTGTATTTTTCATTCCTAATGGATTTGTAATAGTGGATATACGAAATGGTTCAATAGTGTTTGTATAGTTGGCTACCATTTTAACTGTCGGTATCGGTTGGTTTATGGTTGATTGTAGTTATCTGACGGTTGTTGAAATAGGGGGATGAAGCAATTGTAAACTCTACCTGGAGTCAATCTTTTTTCTCTCAAACAAAATAGCTTCCATTTTCAAATATATAATATATCAATATATCTTATTTACTACTTAATATTGATGTAAATATATATATAATATGTATATATACCATCTAATTGCACTTCATTGTTATATGAAATAAAAACGAAAAACAAAAAATATCACTTGGAAAACCGATATTATCAAAGTAGTTTTTCTTGATAATCAATTTTCCAGTTGTTTCAGAATTCAAATATTTATATCAACTATGTCTAATTGTTTTTAATTTTATATAATAATATTTAAGATATTTTTAGAGAAAATATACATCAAAAATTTTGATTAAATCACAGATAGATATAATTTTTCAATTGTGGGAATATCCCCAAGGGTTTTCGATATATCTAATATAACCATTCCTTCCATCAAAGCAGTTGAAAAATGTATTTAAACACGCATCGTGTAGTTTTTATACAAGTTGAGGTATACGCGACGATGAAGACACATAGAGAGTACATTAAATTTATGATAAATGGGTTTCATTTTTGGTACATGCCAAATACATCAAACAATTAACATTTACAGCATGGAACAGCCTCATTATATAAAATCAGGAAAAATAGATCACTTAGTGGTTCAGAAAAACTACTTGTATATAGTATAGATGTTTGGCGATGATATCTGAAAATTTGAGTGTTTGTTTCAAAGATTCATCCAACCATGAATTATTCTTGTTGAATATTTTAAATGAAATTGGCTATATTCTGTTGTATTTTGAACTGAAAATGCACCAGAAAGAGGATTTTAACCATTTACATATTATGTAGATAAGCAAAGCTTCAATGACTGATTGAATTCTCTAAATACAAAAACAATTCCAAAAAAAGGCAAGATAGTTGACTAAATGCTTATTTTCTGAATGGTGCTTCTTTGAGTAGGTATGTACCTACATTGTGTTTGAATATGAGGTTACCAAAAACTATCAAAAAGAGGACTGTATGTATGATATAAATATTAAGTGTTTTTGAATGGTTCTCATAACATGGATAATTGTTATTTAACCAAAATAGGTGAAGTAGTTTTTCTGACATTTTTTTTTACATTACAAATTCGTCCGTTCCATACAACAGCGGCGACCTCAATATATTTCCAAAGTCGAAAGACATTTACTATACAGCAGACTGCTTTGATGCTTACCAAACCACTACACTACAAAACCGAATATAATCAACAGAAAAATAATAAATTATCAACAATCACCGTCATATCGAGCTGACTTACAACCACAATCGATCAATGAATGAATCAAACGCAAAATTTTCTAGGGTTCATATGACAACTCATATGTAATTTTTCAATCCAGGTTATATCACTCTTAGGTAATAAGGGAGAGTAGCATTCAAAGTTTTCCTAATATATCATTTTTATAGTATATTTCTCATAATATCCAAGCTGAAATATCCATAGAGAATTGACTTCCAAGCTCTCATTGGAAATCTTTTTTTTTCTTTCAATAACTTTCAATAAATTTGTTTTTACATCTACTAACTTATTCATTCAGAACTTACAGGGCTCGTTTCATTCTTATTTCAATTTCAAATCATTTTGAATGATTGGAAATATGTATTTTATGCAGATATCTCAGAGTAGAATTTTATGAAAACAATGATAGTGAATAAACACATTTCCACAATATGTTCTCAAATCTTCATCTTATTGAACAATTTGACTTTGACATCTAATTTAATAGAATCACTCGCAAAGGAGGTTTTGCACTTTGTAGCATTTCATTAATACAGGGTATGTAAAAAATTTTGGTAGATGGATAAAACAAAATATAAGTAAACTATTTCGAAATGTGCTTCTCTGGTGTATCCAGTATACTTGGAATGCTAATGTGAAACTGTAAACAAAACTTAAATCTCCATAAAAAAGCAATATTTCCAAATCTGTAGAAGTTTTATAGGGTGATCACTATAAAAGCATGGAACATCTTTTTTCTGAATCTGTGATATTTTTAGATCACAAGAACATATCAGGAAAACAATTTTTGTGTAAATTTCAACACACAATAAAAGGATCATTCTGTTCAATTCCTTATGAGAGCTGTGAAAATTGCTTGTGTCTACTTCCAACTTCTGCATATTTTTTCTCATTGGTGAAAATAGAATATAGCTAACCCTATATAATAGAATATAGGGTTAGGCGTCTTCGATGTACAAGCCAAAAGCAGAAAGTGAATACCTAACCGCGTATTGCCAGAATTTCTGTTCCCTTTTCAACTTTTCCCAAGAAGTTCGTTCAACCTATTACAATTACTTAGTCTCTATTCACTGTGTTGCTTTAGGTGGAAATTATCGATTTCATTATTGAAAACGAGGTAAATAATGGTAGGTAAGAAAAAGAAAGGAAAAAAAAAAGAGTATTCTCGGTGGCCATTAGATGACGTACCGATGACATTGAAATGTACGGGTAATCACCCTAACTCTTGGCATGGACTGAAAGTTAGACATGTTTTCCCGTAGTTTTCAATGTCATCTAATGACCTTGGCGACCGCGAATAGGTATAATTTTAGGGTGGGTGTCATATTTTTATAAACCGTGGAACTAAAGGTATGTTTCTTTGTCCCTCCTAACAGTGGCCAAAATGACCTATTTAATTCCATGGACCTGAAGTGAAATGTGAGCCTAAGTGTTCCAATCTTTTGGATGGTTGTTCCAAAGCAAACCACTTGCGGGATTCAATGGATCACTTTGGTCCCGTGGTATATGATATATATGATCTGAGCATCCCATCAACTGTTATTGACCCAATATTCAACGATTAGCTAGATCTTACCAAGTATTCCAGGGCTCCCATAGTTCTGTTTTGCAAAAATACTAACAGGAATCCCAATATATTACTTCATAGTACATGATAGTATCTGTAGAGGATGGATACTTTAACTGGAATGAATTCGCTACTGAAGGAGTGAATTATTTTTCTGAAAATTAGCAAGACACGTGAACGTTTGAATGAATTTACCTACATTTGGCGAGCAATATGGAGAATATAACCCATCACGGGTAGTTGGAATCAACCCAGACATGTTTTTTTCATATGCAACCCTAGTGCTTGCGACCCCTCATTGGAAAGCTGGTTGAAAGAGGAATCTAGGGTACTGATTATACATTTCAGTTAGCAGTACGTTTGGGGGTCGCAAAAATGAAAATATAATTCCGAAGTTTAATATATTTTCAACGTATTTTCATCAAAATTTCGACTTTCAGTGACAGTGATATGGCATTTCCACCAGTTTGCAATAACACTTCGTTTAAAACTGTGAATACAGCAAACAACTGAATTTATTTTTGCGGCTCTATAGAAACACAGGAATACAATAGCAGATAGCAGTAGTGGCAAAAAATTGCCATCAATTGTTCAACACACATATTCAGCGATAGATACGTTGAAAAAAAAAAAAGAATTTCAAAATTACATTTCAGTTTCATGCAATCTTTAAACGTATGAAAAACTAAAATTTGACTAGTACGCTGTATTCTTCTTTCCACCAGCTTTCGAGGGGTCACAAGCCATAGGGTTACATCAGAAAAAATCATGTTGAGGGTGGTTTCAGCTACCCCTGCATGAATATATTCTCGATATTGCTTGCAAAAGGTAGTACTACGTTAAATCATTGACGTATGTCGGGAATTTTTAGAAAAAATATTCACCTCCCCACTAATGAATTTATTCCGGTTAGTCTCCACACTGTATAAGTGGAGACATTGAATCCAAGTCAGCAGTATGGTGACTGATAGATGAATTTCAAATTCATAGCAAAGCAAATTTCGATATTCAAGTAGTTTTTTTTGTTGGAAACCCCTTGTAAAATCATCCTTATAATCTGCTTTAAATTTTAAACTCGAATTTCAAACTTCTCGAAGAATTGATAAATATCCAACAGTAAAACGAGATTAACCTAAAATTATCTAAATATCACAAAATACCCTTCAAATTCAAACTAGCAATTTCATCATCCTGTTTGGCACTCTTAAATGATTGACCGTGAATAACTTTGGAGAAAATGATGCTTTAATTTCTAGAGGCGCATTATTTGAGATGAATTATCTCTTTTATCATTGTTTTTCCATTCCCTAGAGTTATGAATGACCCTTTCATAAATTTCGCATGAACATTTTCGATCAATTCAAAGCCTGTATTTCGTATCATTACCATTTTTTGGAAATTTTTTCAACCTCCTTGGGGGACGGAGCATGAAATTACACTGTATTTTTTTTTGACATTCATAGGTTAAATGCCATTTACATTCAACCACAGATTATTTCCAGTCTATAAATCAATAAATAAAAATCATTTATCCACAGTTCACCATATAATATTATGTAGCTATACTTGCAATATAATATTCCAGTGTGAAATTGTTTTACTGAATACCACTTTAGCTTCAATTAATATCCGGGAATTTTTTTCTCGAATACGAATATTTAGAAAATTCGTGTTCTCAAAAAGATTTCCGGAAATAATTGAAGCTCTCGTGATATTATAAATGAAAATATGGGCGAGTGGCTTACTTTTGAAGAGATACCAGAGCAACTGCCCCATGCCAGGGCGAGGTTCGATCTTGATTGAGAAATTGAAAGTGTATCAATTCATTACATGACTACTCATTTTCATATGTGAATATGAATTAGTCTCAATTGTTCATGATGAGGATTTTTTCAGAATTCAATAATCTACTTACCAATCTACTTTCTGGCCAAATTCGTGAAGGAAACAATATTGAAATAGAAACAAAATGTCGGCAAAATTCAAAACTACTAGTTTTGGACCCATCAATCCATCCATTCAACAATAAATGAATCTTTGACTTTGATGAATAAACAAGTAAAGGGTACTATTTATATTGTGGTATATCAAAGAGTTATAAAAATGATATAGGCGTGCTATGTCCAAATTTAGGAAAACTTTGTTAATCAGAACATCTGAGCTGTACACAGTCTGTCCCAAATGCGATCCTCATTATTGGGATTTTGGTAACTATGAAAGATAGAGAGAGACGGTTAAATTACGAAAGTTTCAGCAAACTCAATCTTGATTCAGAATCCGTTAAGAAATCTAGACGAGCTTCATACATTTTTGAGTTAAAGTTCAAAAGATCACTTAAAAGTACCATCATAATGTTGAAGTCATCTTTTTATACAATCAATAGTTTTGGAGATATTCGAGAAAAACGAAAATACAATATTTCAGTCTTTCTTGAAGAAATAACTGAAGCTAGTCAAGCTTTCTCGACGGATAATGAATCACAATTGAATTTGCTGGAACTTTCGTAATTTAACCGACTCTCTATCTCTCACAGTTACCGATATCCCAATGGTGAGGATCTAATTTGGGACACACGATATATCCAGCTTCAAATATTTCTTTTTTTATCCTCACTCATTAGGACCGATTACTGTCGAATATCGCTGACAAACCCTCAGAAAATTCGGCATTGGATTCACCTAACCTGACCGCTCCACGTCAGTATAAAAACCTGTCCCTCGCCACGGCGACAGGTCGATGTCAGTCTTGGCCACCGTCATTCTCCGATGCGCTGCTCTCGTTCAAGCTCAGACCGTTGCGGTCTGGCGCGATGTTCTGGAAGCGCACGAGCATTTCCGGCTTCAGGTTCTCCGGCTTGACGAGGTCCTGCTTCAGGTAGATCCTCGGCTTCTGGACGACCTCATCGTCGTTAGTTTTCCTCTCGACCGACGAGGCGGTCGAGTCGTTTGACAGTTCAATGGTGTGCACGTCAGAGCCGTCTTTGTCGTATCTGGACGACGAGTCGTCGTCGTTGTTGTCTTCGTGTTGGGAATTGCCGCCTGAAACAAGGGGAACGGGGACTTGAAATTCAAGATTAAATCGAAATCAATAAGCATTCAGGAGAGAATCACTTGTATCAGCAATCGTTTATACGAGTCGATGCATAGATTTCGGGAGGATGTATTTCAATGTTCTGCGTGGCAGCCAGGAAAGTCGTTTTTGCCGACATCTACCATTGAACGTTGTGTGGAAATGACTTTGAGCTTTTTGTATTTATTTACCATTTCATTCCACTTTGAGCATTGTGGCTATTTCGTAGTTGAAATCACGCCAGTCGGGCAACCAGCCACTCTCATATGGGAATTTCAGTTTTGAAGTGTTTCTTTCCTTCTTTTCTCCTCAGGTGGCGTTGCTTTCATACTGTCTATGAAATACGCCTCTGGGGGAATATAATGCCGCTTTGATTTTTGTTTGGCTAGGCTACGCTTAGTCGGCGGTCTTAGGACTGCTGGCTGGAGACTGCCCTGCACTGATGAGAGTCAAAGAGTTCGAAACCAGTCTGTTGGTGTTTAGCGTGACCTAGCTAAATCGAAATCAATAGGCATTCAGGAAAGAGTCACTTGTATCAGTCATTCAGGAAAGAGTCACTTGTATCAGTATTCGTTTATACGAGTCGATGCATAGATTTCGGGAGGATGTATTTCAATGTTCTGCGTGGCATTAGCCAGGAAAGTAGTTATTTTTCTTCCCGAAATCTACCATTGTTGTTCTTTTTATGGACATTGTGTGGAAATGACTGAGCTCTTGGTATTTATTTAACATTTCATTCCACTTTGAGCATCGTGGCTATTTCGTAGTTTATATTTATATTGTTACGAGATACTCTCACACATCACATCCGTCACTCGTATTGAGAGTCCCATTGATATCACATTGACTACTGCTATTCCGTACCCTTTTGGCCATTTCATGATTCACATTATGATGCCAAATGAAACTCTCAGTAATGTATCAAGCGACTCCTCATTCAACATAAAAATTGATTGATTCGGTTTGTTACATAAGTAGAGGAGAATGTGAGGTTCCAGTGAGTCTCTGGGTTGTAGGGAGCCTCACAAATTCACATACATTTCAAGTCTCATATTCAATAAAATGAGACGCGTATTGCAAATATTTGTAGTCCCCTGGCAATACCAATAATGTTTTCTTGTGATTCGCATTGTTACCTAGCGAGACATGAATGTCACATCCCAGGGATGTTTGTGTTCACTTCGATTCTTGAAAGGACGTTGGATCGCATTGCACATGGATTAAATATTATTGACCGACAGGTAGCGACAGATTCTCGGACGTGACTTCAACCAGTATGACTTTTGGATGGTATCATTATGTATATAGTTTGATGTTGAAAAATGATACATGAAAGAATCCTCTCGTGTTCTTCATGCATTAAAAAGCATGTTTTCAAAGTTAAGGTATACTTGGCCATGCGCAAACAGTATGCCATTTTTCCGTAGCATATGTATAGTATCAAAAACATGTATACTTCTTGAAGGCAGCTTATTCTAAAACGAGGATCTTGGTTTCAGGAATATTTTTTCCTTGATCAAAATTTGATGAAACTGTTCATTGTTCACAATTTTTCCACAAAATTCAGTGAACTAACAAATATTTTTGAAGAATAAATCAACAACTTGATACCAAATATATCTCTGATGGAAATAGCGCTGCAATGGAAAATGCTCATGAAATTTCCCATATTCTCTGGATTCAATAATTGACCTACCGACATTTCTAGTTTCTTGCCAATATACAGGCACGACCAGCTTACACTATCTCTATATCGAGAATCAGTCAGGAAAAATCCATGAAATCCCAAATATGTTTTCACGAGCATCTTTGAGTGCTCGTCAAGTTTTCCTTCTGGGACTTGACATTTAGTTTTATAAGTACGCGTTCTTAGGGCACAGGGCCCTTCATTTTTGACCCGTTTTTTCTCAACTCCCTCTGTGAAGTTAACCACGATATTATAATGAGACATCGGCATCCATTTTAAAAACATAATGTTCACCTCCATGTAAGTCAATTTTTGTTTTTTTTTTAATATAGGTATATTTTCACATGCCTTTGCTTGTAGTAACTTCTGAAAACGGCTGAAGATGGACTTTCATAAGTCCGGAACATGTGCCCTTGATTGATTTACACAAGTAATAAAGTAGTGGAGATGACTTTGAGCGTTCCTTCTTCTTTTTGAAAAATTCCACTCCACTTTGAGAAAACATGGACTACTACCTGTGTATGTTCCGATGGAATATCAGTAAATAGTGAATCGAAAGTTGAGATTGGGACATGTGGGCCGTTTCGACCGATGATGAATAGTTTCAATACAAAAAATCCTAAAGTTGAAAAATCTTGATTTTGAACACCCCATATCTCTGTAATCTCTTTCGATAGACCCCAAGTGTGATATGTCAATGAAATCAGCTCTCCAGGGAGAATCTAAAAATGCGATAAAATACAGTGTGTTTTATATGACATATCAATGTTGCTACTACTACCTAGTAGAAGCGGCAACACTGCATTGTCGAAAGTATTTTAGATGAAGAGGGCGTATTCTAAAATATGAGAATGCACATTTTCATGGATTTCTCCCTACTGATTCTCGATATAAAGATAGTGTAAGCTCGTCGTGACATACCCTGTATATGTACTTTATCCTGAGGATGTATATGTACTTTATCCTGAGGATTATAAAAATAATACAGGGTGTAAATTTGAAAACTTTCAATGCGAATATCTCGCGAAATAAAAAAGTTAGAAAAACGCCGCTTGGCAAAAATGCTAAAGAGTTAAGGGGAACTAAAACCACCATATTTCAGTGAAGGGATGAGTCACCCTGTCAGCGCAACACCCCTCAACTTTGAAATGTCAAATGGCACTACCTCTTTTGTGATACCTCAAATGAACGGTCTCAGTCAGTAGTATTCACCTGTACAAGACTTTTTTTACACCCACTACAGGGTGTACGAAAAATATAAAGTCGAATAAAATAAAATGAATTGTGTTAAAAGGATATTTTATTTGATCAGATGTTCGAAATGCATTCCATTCTGTTGTAAGCAATAGTATAATCGATGTTCAAATGCCATTCTAACATTTTGAAACACATCTCTTGGAATATATCGGCATTCTGCATTTATACTGACTGAGACTGTTCATTTGAGGCATCACAAAAAAGGTAGTGCCATTTGACATTTCAAAGTTGGGGTGTGGCGCGCGCCGACGGGGTGACTCATCCCTTGACCGAAATATGGTGGTTCTAGTTCCCCTTAACTCTTTAGCATTTTTGCCAAACGGCGTTTCTCTAACTTCTTGCTTTCGCGAGATATTTGCATTGGAAGTTTTCAAATTTACACCCTGTATAGGCCTGCTATATGTATCCAGATTCAGGAATACTTTGTCAATCGAAACATTTGAGCATTATATGTTCATCTTCAAATGTTCCATTCTCACAGATCAGTGTGAAACCAGCCGTTCCAGCCACTACTTCGTCAAATATTCCAGGCGCGCCATACCACCAATGGTCGTTTATTACTAATTTATATTGGCTGGCCATGAAATTACTAAAACCTCCAAAATATGTCAATGGATGAAACTATTTTTCATCAACGTATTTCTCTAGGGGTCCTTAATAATCTGTATATCTCTCAATATTTTGTCGGGCAAGAATTAACCCCACAAGCCTTTTTTTTTGGAATTTCTAAAATAAATAATTACTTTTTCAAAATACTCGTGTATGATGTGTATATCTCACAATATTTTGTCGGGCAAGAATCAACCCCACAGCCCCCCTTTTTTGAAATTTCGAAAAAAAAATCATAACTTTTTCAAAATACACGTGGATGGTAGTTTTGTTTTTTCGAAATTCGAAAAAAGGAGGCCTGTGGTTAATGGGGAAGACCACTGATTTTTTAAAACGACATTATCGTGAACTCTATACTGAAAAACTACCAGTGAATTAATTTTGAATTTTTTCATTCATGCTAAGACGATGAAAAAAATAAATTAGTATATGTCCATTTCAAAACACACAATTCCTGCGCCATTTGAAATTTCATCAATTCATTGGTGTGACTGGTGCGACGTCTCAGTCCCAACACGCCTATTTTCCTTGAACTGACCAATTACACTGCAACACTGCAGAATGACGAGGTATCAGAGAGAGATAGCTATAGTTCGGGACTAATACGTCACGACTCCACCATCATATTTGGCTGTTTGAAATATCGAATGAAATATGCTGATTCCAAAACGATATAGATTCGATTCCCTTCAACTTGAACTCATAATATTGATTGTACATAAAATATAAATTATGATTCGTCGATTGAAAGAGGTTTGCACGGATTTCTTCCCTCAGTGGTCTTCCCCATTCTTGCCGGACAAAATATCATGAGATATGGGCTGTGTCAAGTCATCCGTCTGACCACATTGGTGATACCAGAATGGTCAATGGCTGACTTTTGACTCCCATCCAGAAGTTGACGTGGTAACTGTGTGGGCAGGTTTGAAACTTGACCGATATTCCCAAACAGCTGGTTGGTCTGACTGATGGTCAGACTTCATAATGAACGTATGTGCCCGGTCAAACCACAGACTTGACACAGCCATACACATCATCAAGTACCATAAGAGGAACCCATTCATAGAACAAAACTCCCATCTACGTGTATTTTGAAAAAGTTATAATATATTTTCGAAATCCCAAAAATGGGGGGAAAAGCAAATTTTTCATTATTTCTTCTCAAACGTCAGCAATAAAATTACAAAGACAACCATAGAATGATGATGACAACTAACAACAAATAACTTATTTTCCCAATAGTGAGTAGGCGAAAATTTGTTCCTATCGTTTCTAAGGTGTTTAATAAACATTGAAAAGGAACATTCTCAGATATATTTATGAACACAAAAAAATGGATATATATATAAAGAAATACATTGAGAATTCGCATTCTCCATGTGATGATATATCAATTATTTCACGGTTTATTCAACAGAAAACAACTACTTTCCTGGCTATATGCCACGACGAATATTGAATTAGATCTATATTGAACACACACGATGAGAATTTGAGAACAAAATCTTCTGAAGTAGAGAATTTGCATTCTCCTTCATATAAAGATATGCATATAATATAATTCTGAATATTCAACAGAAAACAACTACTTAATAAACACTTCAAATTTGTCAGCTCTTGTCAGTGTCCGGACCGTGTCATTTAATTTTTTTATAAAATGTCGAATATAGAGCTGGAGTGCACACCGCCAGACATAAAGGAAGCAGCGGAGAAAGCTGAAGAAAATCTTCTGCCCCAAAAAAATAGACCGAGGTATGATAAAGCATATAATACGTACAGAGATTGGTGCACCAAAAAAGGGGTCACAAAAGCTGCATCGGAAAACATCGTTCTTGCCTACTTCAGTGAAATGGCTAAGACTAAGAAATCGTTAACCTTATGGTCTACGTATTCCATGATAAAAACAACCTCAATTATCAGAGACAAGGTTGACATATCAAAATATGGAAAATTAATGGCTTTTTTAAAAAGGCAAAATGCCAATTATAAACCGAAGAAATCAAATACCTTTACCCAAGAAAATGTTGATGATACTTTCTTAGATGAAGCACCAAAAGAATTTCTTGTTCTGAAGGTTATTATTCTAACACTAATAAAATAGTTATTTTTACTAATATTTTTCAACATTTTAGGTTGGTTTGGTAAAAAATCCTCTCACGGGTGGAAAATTTCCCATCTGTGGGTGGGAAGTGAAAGTAGGTAATATGTCAGTCTCAGACTTTTTAAACGCCAGTAATGATGACATAACATATACAGGGTGTTTCAGTTTTTTGTAGCAGGACTTTAACAGCTTGAAGAAGACATTTTCTCAAGATGAAAATCTCATACGAACATATATCCGTGGGAGCTTCGTTTCAGATTTACAGGGTGTCAAAGTTTCAGATTTTTCTTATCTTTTGATTTTTCTAGTTTCAATTATGATGGTGTTCAAAAAAATCAATTTAATTTTGCAACTGAATTTCATTTGGTATGGAAGCTTTCGGTCATTCTATTTTCCAATAAAATGTTTAAGAAATGTCAAATAAGTGTGTTTGAGAAATAACGGTTTTATTACAAGTAATTTATTTTTGGCATTTTATCTCGAGATCCTTACAGTTTTCGAAAAATTTACATGGGGGCAAAAAGTTTCCAAATTGAAAGGACAATCTGAATCTATGTCCCATTGAAAGAAGAGACGGCACGCAAAAAAGTTTTACAGGGTTAAATTGGGTACGACCCCTGGAAGTCTATCACCCTGTAGGTATTCAAAAATGCTCGATAGCCTGAAATATTGAATTTTTGAAGTGTATTAGGTGTACCAAATTTCAATCAATTATTCCGAGAATTGTATGAGAAAATTAAAAAAATATAAAAAAAATCTGAAACTTTGACACCCTGTGAATCGGAAACGAAGCTCCCACGCATATATGTTTACATGAGATTTTCATCTTGAAAAAATGTCTTCTTCAAGCTGTTGAAGTCCTGCTACAAAAAACTGAAACACCCTGTATAGTTGTAAATAAAAATAGTTTCAGCCACGGACATATTTTGGAGGTTTCAATAATTCCATGGCCAGCCATGAGTATGAATTAGTTATAAACGACCATTGGTATGGCTCGCGCCTGGAATAATTAGCGAAGTCGTGATTGATTTCACACTGATTTCTCACAGGGCGATCGAAAAACAAGACCAAACTCACTTGTCGAGAAGTTGAGCGGGCTCGACCCCCTCCTACACGACTCGTCGCCGCTGCTGTTCCCCTCGGCGGGCTTCGACAGCGGCGTCAGCCGGCTGTTCCTGCACAGCTGGTCCAGCAGCGCCTTGTTGGACATGTGCTCGGGGGACACGTTCTTCTCCTCCTCGGGCGACTTGGCCCCGCTGGGAGGCACGCCGGACTCCAGGCTGGAGCGGATGATGCCGTCGAGGAAGGAGCCGCTCGTGGCGCCCGGGCCCTCGAGCAGGGACTCGGCCATCTGGCGGGCGTTCTTGGCCAACGCGGGGGTGCCACCTGGAAGAGCGGGCATTTTGAACTATAGATAGCAGAATCTGCGGAATATCTATTGTGTTTACTACAGAGCAGATCATCATCATGGGGTTAAAAGATAAGGTCGTAACACGGTTTTTCGACATAACTCAAAGCAGAGATTTCTGAGGAACATTTCTCATGGAAGCATATATGTATAGAAAAGTGAAAGGTCGCCGACTACGGTTGTTCTAAAGAGTCCAAAAAACTAGTGAGTGTGGCATCACCCACCAGGCAAATATGGCTCTTCTCTGGATGAAATCTTAGAGCATCAGCGTATGTTTGTGTGTTGAACCCCTCCCCCTTCCATATGTGAGAACAGTAATCTAAAACTGGCCGTATCTCTGTGGATGATGAGGAGCTGTTGAGGTGTAAATTAGGTTTTCGCACGGAACCAAAATCCGAGTTCTATCGACATGATTTTCCCATGAGAGTATTGCTGATGAAAATACCGAGCATCGAATAGTGGTCATGGTGGTGGTGGTACCAGACATTGTTATATCTGGCATACTGAGTTACATCTTTCTGAAAAAGATACAGGCTTGATGGCGATGAATTCAACTAGGTTGTTGGTTCCCTAGGCTGTTAATTTGGCAAGTACTTCATTGACAGCGTTGACCTCTGCCCTTGTAGTAAGTTCTCAGTTTCCTAGGAAGAAATAAAAATTGTGGGAGAGAACGCAGCACGGAGAGTTCTATCATCTGCAAAGCTGTGGATAGGGCTTGTCGCTCAGCTTCATTTGTTTAGTTGGAGTGTACGGGCCAAGCAGTGTTGTGTACATTGAAATCGTACATGAGGATGATTTCCACTGCTGGATGGTTCTCCTGAATTAGGTCAAGCTCCAGGGATAAGAACTTGAAGAGCTCTTCATAGGAAGGATCATTTGGTGATAAGTAGAGACATTTTTGGTGTTTCTGGCTATCGAGTTTGAGCCACATAATATCAAAGTTATTTGGTTCCAAAGATTGTTCTCGATGGTATGAAATATTCTTCTCAGCATAGAGGCAGACACCTTCTTGAACCTGAAACGTCTGTGGAGCTTGTACCCAGGGCATATAAGTTGTGTTGGTGGATGAATTGACTTGTGACTCAGTCAGGCCAATATATATCTGGCTTTTCAGTTCGAAGGTGTCGATGGTCGTTGATGTTCTTACTTAGACCATGGATGTTACATAGGTCTATCTTGAGGCTTCTGTTAGCCGATGGTGAACCCCTTCTAGCGGAAATCCAAATGGTGAGGTATTTTACTTCCGGATAATTTTGCTTGAGGAGAACTTATCATCGCTTTTTCTATACTGAAGAGGAATAAGTTGAGCGTGGAAGGCAAAGGAAATTGAATTGGGTTGGGTTGGCCGGAATCATCAACCTGCACTGAAACTTGGGTATAACCCATTTCACAGCGCCTAATGTCGATGTGGTGGTATCGCAATCGCACCGGGCGATGGTGTTTGCCATCTTCCACCTATTGGCGGCAGGACTCACAGTGGGGTTAATCTAATCCGATCGCAACACGGACAAATATCGAATGTCATCTTTCAACAAAAAATATTGAATACATTTTTGTTTTTATTTTACTTCGTGGATGAATGAGATGTGGTCAAGGCTATTCACAATGAGCCGCAAATAATATAAAAACATATTTTTTCACAATTAGTTGAGCAAAGATTCAGAAATGTTGTTTCTCACAGCTCACTTGGTGGAATAATTATTCGAATTGTAAGGAAATTGATGAACTAATAATTGTTGATTTTCAAATGTATATAGTTTGTTACTGCACCGGAATACAAAAATAATATGTCATTTTCATCCTTAATGTGTGTTCTAGGAAAATATGATGTGACTGATTTGATTCATCGATAAGTGAAACGAAAAATCATTTTTCAGAAAAAAAATGTGTTTCTCTGTTATGTGCGACTCATTGTGAATATAATTGACTACATCTTTTTTATCCACAAGGTGAAATAGAAAAAAACAATTTTAAATAAATTAAACAAAAAAAATAACATTTGACATTGACATTGCACAATTGCACATGTTCTGACCTGTTGAACTTGAATGTTTGAAAATATACAGGGTGTTCCAGAAAAACCGGAAGTCCACCATTGAATTGAAATGTGATCAGAACCCAAATGATTCCTTATATACCCAGGCAACCAGATGACGTTTCTTTGACGTCGATTTACGTCAGTTGAATGACCAAGGTGACGTCAGGAGTTGACGTCGTATGACGTGATAAATGACGTGAATTAGTCACAGCCCAATGACGTCATATTACTCACGTTTATTGACGTCATTCACCCACCAAACTGTGACGTCGGACTGACGTCGAAATGACGTCAAAATGACGTTCAAATTTGGTGATGACATGTAAAAAAGTTTCCTCGAACATGGTGTGATAATCACCATTGACCTCTGATGACATATAATATTGATTAAGCATTGTTGAGTCTGCTTGGTGGTCCCTCCGATGTCATGCCATTCAATCATCTATTCAGCAGCGCTATCCCTCAGTACGCATCTCCATCAGAATGATATCATTTACTCGCATTTGTATAAAAAAATTATGTAGTTTGTGTCGGTGAGATGTAAGCAAACCAAGAATAGTTTTTTTTTAATTGACTCGGCCGTTAGTTGATGGAAATCCATGGCAAATGTAAAGACTTCACAAACGATAAGATTTCCACAAAATTCTCACACACAACATGTTTCGCTTACACAGTAGCTTCGTCAGGTGATATACTGGTACGATGTACCAGTTATTACAAGAATAGTTTGATAGCTTGGCGAATTTAGCTTCAGTTTGTTGAGTAACGTATGATCATGCATTATTCGTCAACCAACAAAAATCTAAATAGCGAATTATTGAAAAATCTTCTGAATGACGAAGCTCACCAAATTGGTACGTCACACCGACGTGATTTTTAGACAACATAGATACGTCACTGCCCACTAAGCAAAGTAATATCTCAACAATATTGCAGCAATATTTCAATGTTATGTGTAATGTTACATCAGATATTGTCGCTATCTCACTGCAAGGTCGCAGCAACTACTGAAACGGACGTTCAGCAATATTATGAATGTAATGTTCGCAAATGAATCATTCCAGCAGAGTTATTGTAACATTGTGTATGAAGTAAAGTAACATTTCATACTCAATGAACGAATGTAATCTTATTGTTATATTTTGTTAAGGTTACTGGCAACATAAAATAAAAAGTAAAGGAAAACTACATATTTTATATTATAAATTATACATAGTAACAATATTCTAATAATCGAATAATTGTGTCGGCTATTTCATAATTTAAAAGTAGATTGAAAAAATTTCTAAATATTTTTGATATAACGGTACTAGGTCTCATAGGCACTGCACTGCATAAGAACCTGGAACAAAGGAAATAATGATAAAATAAAATAGTCAGGAATCTACCTGTTAGTTGAGTTAGTTCATCTACCGGTTAAACTTGAGAGTTGAGGATTGTATACTTGATTCTGGAAATATTCATTTTCCAAGGTATGCTGAGAGTATCCTCATAATATACACTGAAGATAATATGAATATTTCTCAGCATCTAGAGAATATTCTGAAGAACGATATTTGAGGTTGTTTTAGAATGAATTGTGAGTGCGAGCTCAAAGTTTTTTCTACAACAGCTAAGTGCAGTAAAATGAGAGATAAGATTTGATGATTCGAGCAATGATTCCACTATCACTATGAGGTTAAACAAAACCTCAATGTCCCTAAGTGTTTCAGTAATAAAAAGGATTGATTTCATATAATTTGTAATGTTTTATAGAGTTCCTGATAAAGAGCCGATAAAGACCCGCAAACAGAAACAATAAGAGAGTAGGTACACTTTGATTCACTTTGACTGCATATTCAGAGGAATTCACGAGGTTGTCCTATAACTTTGAGTATAGGTATACGAATAATTATAATCATTCTATGTTATTTTTTGTCGATCGAACGATCCGCTTAGATCAATGAACGATGTATGAATTTGTAAAATGTATACCTAACCTAGAATAACTGATGTTGACTTACCTAATCATCAACTGTAACTGCGATTCAAAATCTTCCCAACTGCCTAATATCACATATCACCAGATCACCACTTATACCTCTATTTATGTTCCAAAGTATATTATTTATTGATATCATTTGCCATTTGGACGTGTACAACAACAAAATACCTGTTACCGAAGCCAAACACGAACAAATATGGAGACTAAGATACTGGCGTTTGTCGAATGCAAGTTTGCGACTGCGCGTAGGCATTTCATGAAATGGCGTCTCTCGATCGATACCCAATGTAGCATTTTGTATATTTCAGCTATATTATATTTTTCATTCAAATATTTGTTGCATCCCATAAGTTGTAGCAATATTGTTTGTAGTTACCTCATGTTATTCACAAACTCAATGAAGTATCAATGTTGATGCAACATTACAATTGAAAATTCCATATGTAACGATGCACTAATATTGTTCGTAGTTGATCCATGTAATGTTGCAATTTCAATGAGAATATATAGTTGATGCAATATTGCTATTGAAACTTAATTGAAAGGGTCATTTATTTGTAACTAACAAACAATTTGTCAGTAAGTTTTTCTGTTATATCGAACACGAATATAGCAGCAAAATAGATACAATATTGTATTTTCATATTACGGAAGAAAGCTTCACAATATATTGTGGCAATATTTTGTAACATTACATGTTTAGTGGGTGCAACGACATGTTTCTATATATGTGTGTAAAATCAATGAAAAAACGATATTTTCTGAAAACTTTTGTACTGAAAATGTCCGTCCTGTATATACAGGAAACATGGACGTCGACAGGACGACCCTGCAACGTCATTAAACTGACAACTCATTTTATCCTACTAAGTGACGTTCACTCGACGTCGAGATGATGACGTGATTATTACGTCATAAAAAGTACGTCATAGTGACGTCATGAATTGGTGTGTGACGTCTCTCACACAAAATCACCAATTAGAGACGTCACAGTGACGTGATCATTCGTCATCTGGTTGCCTGGGTAACTGTACCAAATTTCAGGAAAATCCGTTCACGAATGAAGAAGGTACAGGGGTGGCCCGATACCCTGTGTCGCCCGGTATGTCTATATGGTTTTATCTAACAAACAATCCAGATGAAACGCTCACCTGCATTACTCTTTCCGCCCACCGCCCTTGCCGACTCCTCCTGCAGCTTCTGCATCATCTGCGAGGCGAAGAAGTCGGCGTGCGTGGGCGGCGGTACGGGCGGCGCGAAGGGCGGCGTCGTCGGGTTGCGCCCCGCCGCTGCCGCCGCCGCCGCGAAGTCGAGCGGCACGTGCGGGAAGCCGTGGGGCGGCCAGAAGGGGAAGGGCGGCGCGTTGTAGCCCAAGGGGGTCATGGCTGGCTCGAACATGGGCAGCTTCATGCCTGGAAGAGGAAGATTCGGTTTATTCATTTTATTTATTGAACAAATAACTTCCAGACAGAATAGGCTCTGGTATAAGGAAGTACATACATAATTATATACCTATAGGTAAACATTTCATCATTCAAAATATATCAACAAATGTAAATTGGCAAACAAAGAATAATATTTGTTGAAAAAACATAGTAAAATGGCATGATTAATTTTATCCAGTTCGCTCAGAAATAACCAGTTTTTTTTACTTCATTTTTGAATGCATTTACCTATATTTCTGCAATTTTTTATATTGCCAGGTAGTTTATTGAATTCAGTTAAGGCTGAATGAGTGAATCTTTTTTGTCCGATTATGGAGCTAGCGGCGTCAAGATGAAACAAGTTAGGTATATTGTCTAGTTTCATGATTATGAATGGGCGTGTACACCTTAGTGAAACTTTTAACTCAAACCATGTTTATATTGATCCTTTTATACATAAATAATGATTGACGACATAATTTGATCGAAAAATTAACTGGAATGTTTTATTTATGGACATAAATAATGGTACCTTCTGAAGACGGACTCTGTTATGAAGTAGAATCCTCATCTCGCCATATAGTTAAAAGAAAATACCAAACGCCCGACGGAGACTGAGGCAACTGATATATTAAATTCTTTTAACTGTGATCTCGCGCTAATTCAATCTGTCAGAAATCATGTATCAATCATCTTTGTCTGGAATAGTCTTGTTTCAGTATTAGGGTTTTGACGTCACATCATCGCCCCGTTTTCAGAGGTCCGAAAAATCGGGGATTTCAATAATTTTTTATAAAACGTAGGGAGCTCACAACAAGAAACGGTTTGCGGTGGTGAGCTAGTTTGGGTGAGTTCTATCGAATTATGTAATAACATTTTTTTGTGATATAAGCCCATTTCAGAATTCCGTATCAAAATAATATTCGACTTCAATTTTTTATTTATGATATTATATGATATTTTAAGAATTTCAATTCTATATATTTCATCTAAAGAATACGTATTTATTTCATACAATTGATTTGTTGGTGTATCAAATGGGAGACGATACAATACTTTTAACGATGTTCTATATAATGTTGATATTTTATTGAAATTATTTCTTGAACAAGATCCCCAAACATTTATTAAATAGTTGATACGACTCAGTATATGAGAGTAGAGAAACATATTCGCAATTTTAATATCAAATTTGGGACATCTTCTCAATGCACCAATAATTGGAGATATTTTATCTGGTCAGTTTGTTTCAAGAGTTCATTTTTTATTTTGAGGTTGAGGTAAATTTTTTGTTTATTTTTTTGGTTTGACTATATCGAATAATAGCGATGATGGACTGTGGTATCAACAATAAATCATTGTAGGTAATGAAAAAATACAATACAATGTGTTCCCACTGAGCAAAGTAATATTTCAACAATATTGCAGAAGTATTTCAATTTAATGTGCAATGTTACATCAACGTTCGTCGCTATCGCGATGTTCTCAAATGAATTATTCCAGCAAAGTCATTGCAACATTATGTTAGTATAGTAACATTTCATATTCAATGAATATATGTTATCTTATTGTAATATTTTATTACGGTCACTGGCAACAAAATAAAAAGTAAATACATATTTGATGTTATAAATTATACATAGCAGCCATTTTCTAATAAATGTTCCGATTATTTCATAACTTATGAGTCAATTGAGAGAATTCGAAAATGTTTTCGATAATGGTGATATGGCTTTGGCGCTGCACCAAAACCTGGAACAATGGAGAGAATAATAAAATGGAATGATCAGGAATCTATCTATCAGTTCAAAGTTGAGAATTGTATACTTGATTCTGGAAATATTCATTTCCAAAGGTTCAAGCATTCTCTATACCCCAATTGAATACCTATGCTTTTCTGAATAATTTGTGGACCACGAGAATAATCAATTTTTCAATAAGACATTTATACATACCTCATATCAATATCCAAGGTATTTTGAGGGTATCCTAAGCATAATATAGATAATATAAATTGGTGCGAGTTGATAGTCGAAACTTTTTCGATTGAAGCGCCCTTCCACAACAATATTTTATTGAGGCATATTTGGTCCTATCACCAGATTCTGGTCCAAACATCCAACAAAACAGAGAATTCATTTCGTCGTATCCAAATTTCACAATTCCCAAATCACGTCGTCCCCATATTTCGAGAGGCCCACATTTCGTTGGGACCACATTTCGTTAGGTCTATATACAGTTTCAGATCATACCCGAAGGATGCAGTTGTCAAATACTTTGCAATAACTGAATTTTCCGAAAATTATAGGAGGAAGGTTCATTCAGGCAGAGTTAGGATAGATTGTTTTGATGAAGTAGTATATTTTCTGATGCAGAAAAATCAACTTCCTCCTTTATATTACATCGTCGGAATTCAGAGAGTTATGGAGGTAAATGATTTATATATGTATATGCTTGTACCAGACATTGTGAACCGAGTTTGTGAACCTATAGATACATTTTGTTATACCAACATTTGGCAACAATCTATGCTTCCGGTATATTCGAAGCTGTGGGCCTAAGAAAATGTAGGCCTATCGAAAAGTAGATACAACACGATATGGGAGTCAAGAAATGTGGGCATAACGCAGCGCAACTCAATTTCGGATTCCAAAAACTACCAAAGGCGCTCCACAAAAAGTTTATGAAGCAAAATAGGGCTTGACCCTGAAGATATATATCCCTGTATATTCTTACAATCACTCGGCATACTTTATATGATGTTAACCCTAAAAAGTATAGATAACTCTTGATTCGAATTTGATCTGAATATCTCCAAAATACTGAAAGAGCTATAAATAATCCCCATAAGATTTTCTTGTAACAATAATTTAAACTTGACAATTTTAAAGATGAATGAATATGTATGAAATCGGCATAATATATGCCAAGTGGGCAATAACAAGCTACCTTCAAATCATCTAATCTGATGTCAAATTATGTCCTGTAAGAATCACTGGTAAGGGTAGGTAGGAATTCATTGAAAATAGGCAGAACTACAGACTATATGTAACTCTGGTAGAAGCTATTTTTATTGCACCTAAAAGGAATTCAATTCAAAATGCAATTGCATTTTTCATGTTTTTTGGTTTCTTTACGTTCGCGAGCTCGTATGTTCAACATGGGAGAGATAATGGTCAGAATATCCCATAGCGCCGAAAGTTGCACAACTAAGGGTCAGTTGTTCTGTCAGAATAAATCTGCAGATTTATGTGAATCTTTGATCATTTTGTTGTTCAGTACCTACATAGTTCGATTTCATATCCTGGTTTGATTTCGGATTTCGCTGAACGATCAAAATCGGTGGCACCTAACAACTGAAATGCAGTGGAATATTTTGGCATAACAATTCAATCTTTACATGAAAATTCCCATTGATGGAGATCTAACTGGATGTGGATATGGGTATGATTCAATTGAGGATTACCCTAGTACCCCTTATAGCACAACATACAAGAATTTCGAGGATATCAGATGATTATTATCATTTGTAATACTACCTTATTCACTGCTCATAGCAGCCAGCCCCTTGAACCAATAAAGTTTTCTAAGAAACTGACGATTCTGAGGAGGTATGTTTCTGGTATTCCTCCACTTCTAACAAAATCAATTAGGTGACGAGACTCGCTAATATTTCACCTTCATCTTGCTTGAATGCAACATTTCTTTTTATTGGAGCCTCCAATGAATTCGATGAATCCATATTTTCTCAAGATGAGATGAGAAATTTTATTGGCATGAGAACAAGCCAAGCCTGCCTCCAACCAGCTCTAAGTGCGTTTTTCTGTGAATTCCGAATTTCTGCTCCCCATAAACAAGGTATTTTTGAAATAAGTACATATAATCAGCACATGTATATGATACAGTTTAACGAATATTCCCAGGATATCAGATATTTCCTAACTCTTACAATTAACAAGAAATTTCATCCCGAAAATTGAACAAAAAACGAAAAAAAAATTAAGTGTGCCACTTTAAAACAATTTAAATGTTTGAAATCCGCGTGATTGTACCTTCTGCATGAAACTTTGAACAGAGGTGACGTCAGAATTGATACAGTGTGGAACTTTTGATAGAAACAGGGGTCTAACCTCAAATATCATTATAATACTACACTTTATCTAAGACTATTCAAATATAAAAGTAACTTCGGATTCCAGAAATATTTCTTTGAACATAAGAAATAAGGTTATGTTATATAATGCAAAATTTCTGAATCAAATTCGAAAAAATTATTAATGTCATCGAAAACTTATTGCCAATATGTGCGAAAAATTCATGAAAAAACTATTTTTTCTGAAAACTTTTCGACACTGAAAATGCCCATCCTGTATATATAGGTACGTCACACACCTAACGATCACATGATAATGTAAGAGTATACATGGTTTAGATATGGTCTGGGAAACTTGGACATCGACAGGACGTTCCTACAACCTCATGAAACTGACGTCTCGTTTTACCCTTCTAAGTGACGTTCACTAGACGTCGAGATGATGACGTGATTATCATGTCATATAAAGTACGTCATAGTGACGTCATAAATTGGTGTGTGACGTCTTTGACAAAAAATCACCAATTATTGACGGCACAGTGACGTGATCATTGGTCATCTGATTGCCTGGGAAATGACGCTTTCTGATATACAATTGACGCGCTTTCTGAAATTCAATTGACTATTCTGAAATACAATTGATGCTTCCTGAAATACAATTGAATATTCTGAAATACAATTGACGCTTTCCGAAATATAACTGGAAAAATCATAGTCATATTACTACTTACCTATTTTAATTTGACAAGACGATTCGACGTTAAATTATCACACCATCTCACTGTAATCATTATTTTTATTATTCGATTCAATGAATCAATGTATGTCATTAACTGTTGAGAATCGAGTTAGCAATGCACGAATGAATCGATAGTTGTAGATAAAAAAACTTACCATTCGGCGAGGTCGGCGGGAACTTCTGGGGCGGCTTCATCATCGGCTTCATCTTATCTCCGGCTAGCCGCAGGTCATTCTGCTTCAGGCTGGCGATCTTCTCGTCCACCGGGTTGGGCTTCGGGTCGCGCTTCCGCGGCCGCATCAGATGGCGCTCCTTCACCTTGTACTCGAGGGTCGAGTGCGGCACGCCGTAGTAGGAGCCCGCCCTGTGCACGGACATCTCGCCACGCTGCACGGCTCTGACGGCCTCCACCAGGCTGTCGCGGTCGTAGTTGCGGTACTTGCCGCGTTTCGGTCTTGTTCCTGCCCCAAATAACATTATCAGTTTTATTGTTTGCTACAGGAGGTTGTTACAGACTATTTTAAAATGCCTGATTAAGGCATTACATTTTGATAGTCGGCCGCCAGTTCTCAAGGAGATCTAGTTGACTTGATTTGATATCCAGTCAAGCAGTAGTTTTTCAATTTCAAGTCAAGTATCAATTTGTCACTGGACGGATGGACTGATGGTTGTCAAGTCAACATTCATAATCAAGTTATCAAAAAGATGTTACGTGTCCTTCGTTGAATAATATAGGTATAATATATAGGTATAATAAGAGGTATAATAAGAGGAACTCATCGTTGACTTCTTCGAGCAACCAACATGTCCAATTATTCCTTATACTCCATAACAAAAAATCATGTAAATGTTGGAGACTCAGCATATTTCAAAAGATAATTCAAATGTGCTATTGGGTGTTTTTGAAAGAAGTAACGAAATAAACTCGAGTAAAAAAAAGAACATCTCACAGGAAATTAAAAAAGATACAGTTACTCCAAAATTAAGGTGTTTTTTTTTAATGGTATTTTTCATCATCTTTGTTATGCTCATTTGTAAGATATGATACTACTAATAGATAGGTGAATATCCTGAAGCTTTCGAATTTTCTAACTCTTCTAATAAACGCTGATGTACAAAGGAAAGGTACATATATTGAGAATCGGTTTCAGAATATATATTTTTATGAAATCATTTCAACCTGAGGAAATTATGTCTCTTGGAATTATATCATTCGTTTCATCTCGATTCAAAAAATCATGTAAATGTTGGAGACTCAGCAACGTTGTGCTGAATGCTGAGAACTGACAAGACCACGCCCACAATTCGTGCGCCGCTTCAAATGTCCTCTTAGTGTGTATTAATATTGTTATTATTTACACAAATTTATTATAAGCAATGAGCCACAAATCATAAGGAAACATTTTGAGACAATTGATTTTTCATTGCTAATTAGGAATATTACCAATACCCAATTGAGAATTTATGAATTATTGAATAACTAACATTTCTGAAAATTCCTATCGTATTTCAACACATGGCAACTGTGCTAAGGTCTGCCCCTACTTACGAAATCATGACGTCATTTAAAATTATCGTGGCATTAGTGATGATTTTAGCACCTAAAAATCGACCGAAACATTCTAAAATAATATATAATTAAATACAGCTCTTGGTGAGGACCTACTGCCTTGGAATGTAATCAAAAAGTTGAGCTACGAAATCCACCGTTACATAATAAAAACTTTTGAAATTTGCCTTACAAATAATCTGTTTCCCAAAATATGGAAAAAAGGAAAAATTGTGGTCCTGCCAAAACCTGGTACTGATCGAAAGAATGTTGGAAACTATAGACCAATCACATTACTACCAATATTAGGAAAACTGTTAGAAAAAATCATCAAACAGAAAATCGCGGTGGCAATAGATGACAAAATTCCCAACTCTCAGTTTGGCTTCCGAAATCTAAGGATAACAATACATCCACTAACCATACTCATTTCAAATGTCCAATCAACAAAACTCAACAACCATAAAACAGCTGCATGCTTCCTGGATATCAAAAAAGCATTCGACAGTGTATGGCATAAAGGACTGCTTTATAAAATGATGCTTCTGGAAGTGCCAGTTAACCTCATTCATATTATTGAAAGTTTCCTGGAAGACAGAAAGCTATTTGTCTCAATAAATGGTTCGAAGTCCCATCCTTTCACTGCACAACAAGTTGTACCACAAGGAGCCCCATTATCACCGATGCTGTACAACATTTACTGCTATGATTTTCCCCAACAACAAGAGCACCCCACCAAATGTTACACCATACAATACGCCGATGACACAGCCCTGATATCACATGATAGAAAATTAGAAAGCTCAACAGCACGTTTACAAATCCACATAGACAATGCCGTGAATTGGGTGAATGATTGGAGACTTGAAGTAAATCCTCAGAAATGTCAGCTAATGCTATTTAATCATGTAATAAATGATAATTCCCCAACAGTGACGATAGCCAATCATGAGATCAACTCCACCAACACTGTGAAGTACCTTGGAGTCCATCTGGACAATAAACTGAATTTCAAGTATCACTCCAAAATCTGTAAACAAAAAATAACATCAAGAGTAAAATATTTCAGAAGTCTTACATACAAACAAAATGGCATCAACATCGGAGCAGCAGCAAAGATATATAAATCCATATGCAGACCTTTGTTGGACTACGGACATACTATATATCTAAACTATATATCTAAACTGCAGAAATCCTACCATGCAGAATTTAAAAACTGCAGAAACGTCATCCCTAAGAACAATAACTAGAATGAGACACCCTGACAACTATCTACACAACCCATCTAATCAATATTTGTACCACAAAACTAAAATAGAACCAATACAAGAACGGCTGAGATAGTTATCCCAAAAATTTGCCCTCAAGACCAGCAACATGGAGCTTTTAATACCCCACTTGATTCTAAGAGAAGATATGAGATCACGTTTCAAATTCCCAGAAAGAACAATACAAGAAATACTTACATCATTTAGTGAAGATCAGTTGGACTAAAAATTTATAAATTTAAATTCTTTTTTTTTAATTCACATTTTAATGCAAATGAAATTATTGAAATACCATGTATATTGAAATTTACTGGCTGCAGGACTTCGGTCGATAGCCTTTTGGTTGTAATTTATAACCAATGGAGAGCGTTTATCATTATTATTATATATAATTGAGAGGTATTTATTCAACTGATGATTCTATTTGAGAAATAAAAAAATGAGTCCACTCGCCTATTTACTTGAATATTCAAGTACTTCTATCAAGCTACTCAATTTTTAGCAGTTTCATTGTGTATCAATAAATGATGAAATGAGAACGAACCTTGCTAAAACACTTTTATCTATGAAACTTATTGTATAAAAGAACCCAAAATCAAAACTATTCAGTCACAAGAGTCTCCCAGTTATGGAATCTTCAGGAACGAAAATATCCGAAGCGGTGTTCAGTCTATACATGGAAAATGTACGGACAAAAAAAAACATCATTGAAATTGCGAATCACTACCGGCCTCTACAGTATTACTTTCAATTTATATAATCACTTCGAAAAACGAAAAAAAATCCTCTTCGGGTATTTTTGTTCCTGAAGATTCCATAACGGGGACGCTCTTTTGATTCAGTCAGCTTGAAGCAATCATTCTAGTGGGAAATTTGTATTCCGTGCGAGTTATACACTATAATTTTTCTACCGCTGTAACAAATAACAGCGGCATTTTTGATTTCTTCGTCTTGAAGCTATCTGATTTCCTCTCAAGTAATGCTCATCTATTAGACAGAGCTGTCATTGCTTGAAATTTGACATTCCATGAGCGATGAGATTTTTTTGAAATAAAATCACAATGGAGTCATTGTGACATCAGATACGGAAATGAAATTCATCGCATACCAATTACCGCATTGATGTATCGAACACAGTAAAACAAGATCAATTTTGTGTTATATTTAAAAGATAATTCAAATGTGCTATTGGGTGTTTTTGAAAGAAGTAACGAAATAAACTGGAGTAAAAAAAATAACATCTCACAGGAAATTCAAAAAAGATACAGTTACTCCAAAAATAAGAGTTTTTTAAATAGTATTTTTCATCATCTTTGTGATGCTCATTTGTAAGATATGATACTACTAATAGATAGGTAAATATCCTGAAGCTTTTACATTTTCTAACTCTTCTAATAAACGCTGATGTACAAAGGGAAGGTACATATTGAGAATCAGTTTCAGAATATATATTTTTATGAAATCATTTCATATTATAGCATTCTACCTGAGGAAATTATGTCTCTTGGAATTATTTATATCATTTGATTCATCTACTTCAACGCCGCAAGAAGAGCTAACAATTTCCCAGGAAATAGACAACTGATGAATAATAACATAGTGAGCGACATTGTCGTAATCCTATTGTTTGTAATTTTCTCTGAAGTTAGTAAACTGCAAAAATTCGGTAGGGATAACGTAGTTCGGCTTCTAAGAAGTTCAAGGATGATAATAAAGTAATGCTTATGGAAAAAAATACAAAATTCCATATTAATAATAATGTCTCGGATGAAGAGTATAAACATAACTGAATAATAAAATCAAGGATTCACTCAGCTTGGGTTCAATGAACCTCCGATTTAATATATAAATGTAAATTCCAGTATATTCATTTCAAAATGTCTCAAGAATAATGTTCTGCCATCATGAAAATAATCCTCATATTTTTGGTTTCCAGACTACTCATAGAATAATATGCAGATAATAATAATGTAGATGGCATGGATGAGAGAACACCAAGACGCCAAATACATATATTCAAAATTTATTTCAAAGTCTTGTTACCCCTTGTTGATGAACTAATAATAATTAATTAAGTTATTTTTCAGAATACAAAATGGATGAAATCATTTGGTGTCGAGAAACTAACACAATAACAATACATACTACACGATTTATTCTTAACAGAAATGTACTACAGGGTGTAATTGAATTGATTGCTGAAGATATAGAGTATGGTTCCTTAGCTCATTTCAAGAAGAAAAATACATATGAACATATATGCCCCAACCTATCAACTTTCGAACTATAGGGTGTTAAGAATTTTTTAGTTCTATTCTCTCTTTATTGCTTGAAGAAATTTCACAATGTAAAGAACTGTCACGATTATGAAAACTTGTCAAAATAAGACCGCAACGTAATCGATCAAATGTCATCATTTTCACGGAAAAAATCTGGGAGTTAAATTGTTCCAAGATAAATGAGGATTTCAAAAATGATTTTTTTCTTCTCCGAAAGAGTTAGGGCGTACAATATATTTTTTGTTAAATCTCCAGGATACATCCCATACAGACGCCACTGGTGTGAATATCGAAAAAAACTCCTGATGCCTCCAAAAATGTTTATTGATGCTTAGTACGTTAGTAGGTGCATGTCAAATTTCATGAAAATATCTAGAACAGTATTGAAGTAATGACAAGAATAAGATAGTTTCCTTGAAATTTTAACACCCAATAGTTCGAAAGTTGAGAGGTTCAGGGCATATGTTCATATTAACCTTTCTTCTTAAGATGAGCTAATGAATCATATCCTGTATAGGTGATTTTTTCACGTTTCTCGATATTCGTCTGAAAGGATCAAAAACAAGTATTCTAGCAACGCTATACTCTAATGAAAACGCCATGGAATGTCAACAACTTCTGACGTTCAAACGAAAATACTATTTCCACTATTACTGTGTTGTGTTGTTATTTGGGTTGTACTATTTCAAAAAGTTTTGTTGCCTCCCTAATTTGGTTGTGAATAAGAACCTGATTATAGATTCTTTATCTATCTGCACCATCTGTAATGGTAGACATGAGTGCAAAAAAAAATTAGAGGTGGTCATGTGTGCGCTGCTACAGGTTGCAGAGACAATTCTTAGACTTGGTTTTATTCCTCATCTGATCAGAGTTAGAGTTCCTAAATGCACTTGACACTGCTGTTTTGAAGTTTTTTGTATATCAGAATACGGACACTATTACAAGCACTGACAATCAGACAACCACAAATAAATTGATGGAAAAAGCGGGAACAAACAGTACACGGGCGTACATGACATAAATTTCAAAGGTCTGACAAATTGAGAGAGTTAGGAGAAAGATACAAGGTTGTGCAGTTTCCAACTGTGAGAACAGAGGAAATCAATTCACTCTATTAGAATTTCCATCGGATAACGTGATTTTACCAAAATCGGAACAGAATATGATGGCATTTTCATCAGGTACACTCCAGAAAAAAAAATTTGATGTTGAAAAATAGGATCGTATTGAGGGAAAGAGCCGAACCAACAATTTATAAACTGAGCGAGTTTCAAAGAGAACCGCATTCCAATTTAGAACCAACAAGAAATGAAAAACTTGGCGCAGATAATGAAATTCATTTCGAACATATTTTGAAAGAAAAACAAATAGAAGAAAAAAATAGAGAGTTTGAAAATAAGTTGAAGTAAAAAGATTTAGATACAAAAGTCAGAGTTAGCAAATTTCAGAACTATTACCTAAAAATTATTTCAGATTTCAGACAAAATCAGCAAATATCTTCAGAGAAATACAAGAAAATTGAACAAGCAAATATCCAGGCAATTTTGAGCAGAATCAATAGTTTCGATGAGTATTGTTCTTATGAAAAACTTGAATAATATATTAGTGAAAATCTTGCTCTATATGAGCATGATTCATGTTCATTTATTAATTACTTTTTACCTACCACTCTTATTCAAGTGAAATTGTTCCATACGAAATAAAAGTAAGTTTCATTGGTTCAAATTAATCTGTTTTTACCCCATTCTGAACTTTTGTGATAAAAAAATATTCAACTGAACGTATATATATACCTACATATGAGAGATTTATTTCATAGGAATAGTATATGTATTTCGTTGGTATATATGTACACACCAACTTGATATCGACCTCCATTGAGGTCCTTCAGCCTTATCATTCAATATTTCGAGAAGAAATAATTTTCTAATCAATTTATCGTACCCTTTTACCCACTCGAGGAGACGCTATGCACTCTCATACAAAATTCAAAGACAGAGAAAGATATATGGATGTACTCTTCTCAGGACTTGTGAAGGATGGAAGAAGCGAGGATTCTTTATCCAAGCGAAAAACATATTCTTGTCCTTGTCTGGCAAAACATATGATTTGCTTCAAAATCGTTTGTGGTTATGTTTGATTGTCACTGCTTGTCTAGTGTCCGTACTCTAATATACAAAAAACGTCAAAACAGCAGTGTCAAATACATTTAGGAACTCTAATCAGAGTCAGTTGAATGAATATACCTTGTACACCTATTGACCAAGCAGAACTGCATTTGAGAACGAAAATGAGTTTAGTTTTTTTAAAAAACAACTCGAAAATCTAATGAAAACATGGTAAAATCTATCAATTTTAATTTTTAGCAATGTTTGTGCTCAAATATGTCCTACTGAAAATAAAAGTTAGCTTTTGTTAACTATTTTTCATTGAATTGAGTGTAAGTGTAATTTGTAAGAATTGAATACATTTTACTGGTATGGATAAATGTGTCACAAAGTGAATAAATTCATTTAGTACAAATTATAATTTCCCTAAGAACAGCCCTGCTTGCTAACCCAAGAACATGGCGGATCACAGAAAACAGATCCTTAAATATCAAAAGCGTCGACCAGAGAAGCACTTCTGATTGTTGGGTATTCTGTGATTCAGATAAGAACATTCAAAATTCCTCACCTTTCCCTCCAGTACTCGTACCCGAACCCGAACCAGTCCCACCCCCACCACCGCTCAGCCCCTGCGGCGTCCGCTGCGCCTGCGCGTAGTGCCTGCCCACGTCCTGCTGCACCTTGACCATGCCGAGGGGCGGCGTGAACCCGCCCCGGCCGAAGTCGCCCATCTCCAGCACGGGCGGCCTGCGCGCCTCCTGGAACTTCTGGCCGATGCTCTGCGCGATCGCGTCCTTGACGTCGCGCGCGACGAGCGGGGCGGGCTTACAGGCGGGCGGCAGGATGGGCGGCGAGGAGGACTCGGAGGTGACGGGCGGAGAGATCATGCTGCCTGCAAGAGGAATGTGGTTTCATGAGGGAGATTCGAATGAAGTACGGCTTAATCTGCTAGAAGTTCCACACGACGATTCTGTGGCACAATCAAGATGTATCAGAATTGCAAAAAAATATTTTTGATATATTACAAGGGTCAAAGAGTGGTGTGATCCCAATATGCTTTCATTGAATAGTTCGAAAACGAACATCCTCACTTTTCATTGCAACTTGCAAGAAGAATTGTTTCTTGGTAATCAAGTAATAAGGAATAAGTCTGTTACAAAATGTCTGGGTTTATACATTGACGATAAATTAAGGTTTGAAGAACATATTGACAAATTGAAAAAAAGTTGTTGTGTTGTGGGTGTTTTGCAGTTAGAACAACATCTCAGGAACTAGGTCAAGAAATGGCGAGAATATACTTTGCTCTTATCGACTCCCATTCAAGATATGGAATTTGTTTTTGGGGGTCTTGCAGTCGATTTTTATTCGATATGATATTTGTGTTACAAAAGAGAGCAGTAAGGTATTTATGTGAAATTAAATTTATAGTCTTGTAAGCCTTTGTTTATTGAAAATAGAATATTGACACTGCCATGTATCTTTATTTTGGAAACAGTGTGTCTTATTCACAGTAAATACATGAATGCAAATTTAAAAAAAACGAAAAAAAAGAATCGTTATAACACAAGACTGGCTATGGATATATCGGCACCAATACCATCTACTACGTAAATCAAAAACTCCTTCTTTTATAATGGGAAAAAATTATTTATTCATCTGCCAGACGAGATCAAAATCCTGACTAATTTCAAGAAATTTGAAGGTTCTGTAAGGAATATTTTGCTGGAGGAAGCTTACTACTCGCTAGATGAATTTTATTTGGAAAAATTTTAACTTTCAATTGTACCTGTCTTTTTGAAGCCTATATTTTTTTTATATACACTTTTTTATCTATTTTGTATACTACACCTTAATGTTTTACAATAATTCTTATTTTCAAGTATGATGACTTTGTCGATGAGAATTTCATTTCTTCTGACAATAAAGTATATTTGATTTGATTTGATATTTGACAGGATAATTGGAAAATTCAAGAACCGCATTGAATGGCACTGAATTACCTACATTTTACTGTTCCCTGGCAGTTATCCCCCACTTTTTATGTTCAAATGTATATTGTCATTGAAATTATGAATTATTTTGATGAAAGATAGGAAAATTTCATATCACAGACTGAAAATAAATTCAAATCGAAAATGACAAATTTGATCAAAAGGGTGACCAACTTTTTTGTTTCAAAAGTTCATCAAGTTCGTTATGAATAGGTGGCCTAGGTGCCTTCGCCATTCATTGAATTGAAATGCCAACTCATAATATCAATTTACACAGAAAATGAAGAGTACACATGATATTGCTAACATATTACAGATTTTAATTTTTCTTTTGGATCATAAGACCGCACCTAAGCATGCTGCATGCTTGTGTTGTACTAGTCTTCAATCCGCAAGGAGCATTATAATTGTGCAAGTTCCATTTTAGGCTATAAGTGTATGATTAGCATATCCTATAGTACATTGTTTTATTATTATCGAATGTGACACTTTGTTTGACAAGCGAAATTTGCGGTTGCGAGGCGGAGCAACCGCGAAGCCGAGCACGCAAATTTTGCGAGTCAAACAGTCACGTTTGATCCGAATAAAACATGCTTTTTTATGCAATCGAAATAATTGATATTTGATCAATAAACTATAAGTGAAGTTACCACTATTTTAACTCACTTGAGCATGTCAGTGTCAAAGCAGCTATCATATCAGCTGTCGTCCGACACACTTTTAGTTCCTAGGAGTTAAACTTCAACTTCAGCTCTTAGACACTAAAAGTGTTGCATAGCAAACATATACTAATCATTTTACTTGGTAACCTCAACTTCAAGAGCTAAAGAACAAAAATGGACGACTTTTGAGACGATTGCAGAAAAAAAATTATGATTATTGGTGCAGAATATTGATGAATGAAATACATATATGTGGGATTTGGTAAGTACTAAAATAATATCAAATAATATATTGTATGTATATAATATGTATACTTTTTATACCACCATCTACCTTCGCCATTTATTCAAGTTCGTTATGAATAGGTGCCTTCGCCATTTTTTCAATTGAATGCCACTATCATAGATCTAAATTTAGATCTATGCCACTATAATTTATTTGATTTAATTTAATGAATCCTAGGTATAATAATTGATTGAAGATGTAGTAACAATTTAGGTAAATTTCAATATTTCATTATTGTTCCTAAAGTTAGTGCAGTTACCTGTTGATTCTCCTTGAGGCCTAAAAACATCGCATCCATTCTTACTCGACATCGGTTTGAAGGACGGAATTTTCAGTATCACATTGGAGGGGGAATCATCCGTTTCCATGTCTGACTCAGATTTGGGCCTTTCAACTTTCATAATGACAGAGTTGCTAGGACTGGGCCTGCTCAACCTAAAGAAGAAACACAAATCATATTTGAATATTTTGCACACAAATCTCCAGGGAATGGTCAATTGGTAAGTTTGTTCTGATCATATTTTTTTGGAAATTCCAAACTATGACGTAATAGTTAACCAACCACACAAACCAGCTCACTGAGGTAGTTTACGGAGTAGTTAAGACTTCTGATTGGGCTCTTTTTAATGTTATAATCTGAGGTTATAAGTGATGAGAAAGAATAATTATACTTCTGGAAGAGATTCAGAATGGATTCATAGGAAGTATTTTTCAATGAGAGATCTCATCATATTATTGATGAAAATAAATATTTGATTCATTGTGAATATGTATGTATATAAATTTTTGTTACAGATGATTATTCAATATATTAGCATTACTACAAAAACATAATAAAGTTACCGTGCCGTCATCATAAAGTAGACCTGATTTGTCTGGTTACGTTCGAAGATAAATGACTAATATATGTATACAACCAACCTATCGGAATCTCCATTGTTGTTCTGTAACTTCAAGAGTTGTTCCTCTGCCATCATCCGTTTCATGAGCTCCGGGATCATGTGGTTGATGACCGCCGCCTCGGGAGGCTTCTGGCTGGCCAGCATGTTCTGAGAGGCCAAGATCAGGTTTTGGATGTACGGACCCACTTCGCTGTGGTCCATGCCCGTCCAGGCGTCTTGGCCTTCTTTGCTCTTCTGGAGGAGGGTTTTGAGGGCGTCAGGTGGTGCCTGAAAAATAGCAGTTAGTCAATAGGCCAGTGAACTAATTTTTTTTATTCCTCAAATAGAATCATCACTCAAATACCTTTCAATTTCATATTTTTCAAGAATTTTTCGGTCGATTTTTAGGTGCTAAAATCATCAATAAAGCCACGGTGATTTTCAAACGGCTAGAAATCTACGGCCAGTAAAAACTGACGCCACGATTTCATAGGTAGGGGCAGACCACAGCACAGTTGCCTTGTGTTTAAATACGATTGAGAACTTCAGAAATATTACTTATTCAATAATTCATAAATTTTCAATTGAGTATCAGTGAGATTCCTAATCAGCAATAAAACATCAATTATTGTCCCAAAATGTTCCCTCATGTGTTGTGACTTATTGCTTATAATTTGTGTGAATAATAATTATATTAATTCACACTAGAGGACATTTGAATCGGTGAACATGACAACACGGCGCACGACTTGTAGACGTGGTCTTGTCAGTTCTCAGTTTTGAGCACAAAGTTGCCAAGTCTCCAACATTCACATGATATTTTGTTATGAAGAATAAGAAATATTTGGACATGCTGGTTGCCAGAAAAAGTCAATATAGAACTATAATATCATGGGTTCCTCCTATTATGTTTTGTTCAACGACAAGACTCTAACAAATTTTTGATAACTTGATTATAATTGGTGACTTTACAACTTTGCTCCATGACTGGAAGTGGAAGATTATCTGACCAATAACGAAACAGTATAAAAACTGACGTCACCATTTATTCGACGTATTAGTGAACGTATCGGCAAATGGCGGCCATGACGCTTCGTTTGAAATGTACTCTGAAATTAAACAATTTCGAATTAGCATACTCATTATTTTCATAAAAAAAGCATAAGAAGTGTTACAAAAATTAATGTAGGTTCCTAACGACACAGTAGAGCAATTGAATACCAATAATTCATTATCAGTCCACTCGCCCATTGATAGATTTACGAAGTCAAAATACTAGCTTCTAGAGGATAGATAATCTAGTAACAATTTGGGCGATATAAGAATACTACGCTGCTCCTTTCATTGGTGAGACCACATTGTCACGGCAACCACGAAACTAACCAGAAAGACATCTTGTCACCTGGTATGACATGGAGATGACAGATTCATATGGGTCATGGAATTGTCTCGATGAATACAATTCGTGATTTCGTGCTCACAGTACTATCGAAAATTTCGTCAGATATCTTGAACTCGATCGAATTGCTTCGAGGTGAAACCTCGCGGGTATTGGCATTCAATTACTCCACTGTGTCCTTAGGGACCTGAATTAATTTTTGCAATATTTCTCATGCTCCTTTTATGTAAATAATAAGTTTATGCGTTGTTCAAAATTATTGAATTTCAGAGCTCTTTTCAAAGGTACCGTCATGGTCGCCATTTGGCTTTTATGCTGTTTCGTTAATGGTCAGATAATCTTCAATTTCCACTCATGAACCAACTCACCAATTATAATTAATTAATCAAAAAGATTGGACTCCTGTCGTTGAATAAAACACGAGATAAAACATAATAATATGAGGAAGTCATGATATTATAGTTCAGTCTTGACTTTTTCGAGCAACCAGCATGTCCAAATATTTCTCATACTCCATAAGAAAATATCATATTGATGTTGAAGACTTGGCAAGAATGTGCTGAATGCTGAGAACTGACAAGGCACCGCCCACAATTCGTGCGCCGTCGAGTGCGCCGTGTTGTCACGTCAACCCTCAAATGTCCTCTAGTGTGAATCAATATGATGATTCTATTATCAACAGAAATGTTTTATGAGCAATAAGCTACAACAGATGAGAGAATATTTTGAGACATATGATTTTTTATGTCTAATTAGGAATATAACCGATACAAAATTGACAATTTATGAATTATTAAATACCTCATAATTCTGAAGTTCCAATCGTATTTCAACATATGGCAACTGTGCTACTTACCCAATCGTGACGTCAGTTTTTACTCGCGGTAAATTTCTAGCCGTTTTAAAATTACCGTGACATTATTGTTGATTTTAGCACCTCAAAATCGAACGAAAATAATACTAAAAAAATATGACATTGAAAGGTATTTGAGTAATGATTCTATTTGGGAACTAAAAAAAAAATCAGTCCACTCGCCTATTGAATCTAGTTGATTTCTGACAGAATTACTATCTATAGTATTGCAAGCACTCATTGTATTAGCCTTGACAATTCCATGACGTATATATGAATAACCAATCAGAATGGTGTGGGTATAAGACCACGTCGTCACGACAACCATGAAATCTAAATAGAACGCCATGTTGTCACCTGCTATGACATGTACATGACAGTTTCATATAGTTCGTGGAATTGTCTTAATAAATAGAATTCGTGCCAATCCTGTCAGAAATCTTGAACTCGTTGAAATTATTTCGAGGTAACACCACGAGTATGCAAGCAATTGGATCTCGTTGATTTTCTGACAGAATTACTATCGATAGTACTGAGAGCACTCATATTCCAAAGCAAAGTTGAAAGCCATGTTGATGCAATGTTGAAGCAATCACTGAAACGGACGTTCAGTGATATTGCAAAGGTGAAGTTCGATAATGTAGCGTTGCAGCAATAATACATGTTGATGTGACATTGCTGGAACGATTTACAAATTTACATTTGCGATATTACTGAACGTCCGTTTCAGTAATTGCTACAACCTTGCTACAACATATAGCTTCCAAAATTTGCTTAGTGGGATGGTATTACCCTCAGAGTAACTAGTTGAAGAAAGTGATTTATTTTGCTTGTAATTATAAATATATATCATTCTAAGGACCTCTGATGATGTGGAACCGCTGCCAAGTTGATAATTCGAGAGGACATTTCGGGTGAAACATATTCAACTCGGCATGAATATCTCATGACCAAAAACTAAAAGAATTCACTACCTATAATTATGAACTTATTAGTTATTGCTGAGAGGTAGAATACAAAATGAAAAATATAAATTATTCAAAGATTAACGTGGTGGAACCGCAAAATTTCGTAGTAGAAATGCAATTTGTCTTTATTTCTTTATTAATAGTCTTCCGGATGATGTCTGATCAGTTTCGATGTTTTAATAAGTCATTTGATATTATAATCTATAGCCGAGTCTTAAGCAAACTATTTTGAGAATAAATGTCGTTCGGCAGTGTCAAATCTGCAACGAAAAGTTAAAGTTCCAAAATTGTAACAAATATCCCCAACTGTTATTTGATAAGTACCTAAATGAAAATTTGGTCTTGTTCAATGACTTGTTTTGTATTTTTTCATCTCTTGGAGTGCCTCCCTATCATCCCTAGATAGGTAGAGGAAGTAGGTTTTGGAATTTTTCTGAACTTTCGTTGATGGAAAATATGTTAAAAACATAGGAAATATCAAATAACCTCACTAAGACCCTATAAATTGACTAATGATTATATTACAATACGTGAGAATTAATTGATTAATGCACATGCATACATACATGTATAGCAATCCCGATGTATAGGATGAATCAAATATTCCTATCAAGAATATCAATCCTCTAGCAATGATTCAGAAAAGTGATCTCCGACATAACTCATATTATTTACTATCCCCATACCATTATTCGTGTTCGTTGTTTAGGATTGTTGGCATATACTTTTTGATAATTTATGAATTGATCGCGGAGTCTATTTATTTATTTATTTATTGAAGAAATACAAACAGGACGTCGAGGTCCTAATTACATGATTCCTTTTTCCTAATCCTACCTAGAAACTAAGTGTTAATTATTTTATTTCTGACAGTGACATTATAAGCTTATATCGTCATAGTTACGATATCTATAATGAGGGTCATAACTCCCTTGGGATGTTATAGATGCTATAATTCCCTCTAGCTAAAATTAAATAAGAAATGCATAGCAACAACCACGCAATAACGTAGCAATAAGGAATCTCCTATTCGCGGTAGTCAAGATCATCATCTGACGTTCTGATGACATTGAAACTATACGGAAAAACATGTCTAACTTTCAATCGGAAAGGTATCTGATGAATGAAATCAGTCAGAAATAAAATTATCTATGTATCACGGGATTTATAGAGCCTTAATAACCTCTGGCAATTGCTGTCCCTCGGGCCATAGGCCCTCGGGACGCAAACTTTGCCATCGGTAATTAAGGCCATCATAATTCCCTTAATACATAAATAACTATAAATTGTATAAACTATTATACTAATATACCTTCATATGCCTGGTAGAGTCCGATATCATATATAATTTCTATTTGTAAAATTCGTCTGGTATATTGAGGCACAGAGGAAAAGAGAAAAAATCGATTGTGAAATATGGAAGACAACAAGGCTAGCCTGAAGGGAAGGAACCATGGGTATTCCTAATGCCTTGAAACACTTATTTCATGAATGTGATTTCATTATCAGAGCTTTCAAACGACTCACGGTAATGGTGAAGACGTCTATGTCAAGCTCATTCGAATACTTGTTCAGGAGAAAGCAACAATTGTCAATTATGTTTGGCGTTCTAGGGACCAAGAATGAAATTTTTTTGGTCTCAAATTTATCTATATATATCTATCTATTGTTATTCAGTCTTGGGTATCACCCCCCGTGACAGTTGAATTCGCGAAAAACGTACCTGATCCCTGCCGGCGAATCTGAAGATGTCCGCCATCGACAGCAGCGGCGCCTGCAGCGCCCTCTCCACCTCCTTCTCCTCCTCTGCCCCCGACAGTTCCTTCTCCTCCTCCATGGCCTCCTCCTCGTCCAGCCGCAGCGGCGTCGAGCTGTTGAGGTGCGACTCCCTCTCCCTTTCCAGCGCCAGCTTGTACACCTTGATGCGAAAGCGTAGACATACATTTTTTATAACAGACACATACAACACTACACTGTTTTACCGCTAACAAAACCGATTTTTAATTACCATTACCTGAAATGGTCAGTCAAGTCAAGTCATAAGAGTCAGTCGTTAATTTTGTCGGTTACTCAACCGAAAAGATACATATAATGATGAAGATGGAAAGCCCTTATTTCGAGTGATAATGGAAAATGAAAAAACTCCACCGCCCCGTGTGAGAGTCGAACTCACAACCTCTGCCAATTGAGCTAACGGATCATCTGTCGATCAATCGGCAGGGAGGTCGAGTTCTCATCACACACTGGGCGGCAGAATCCTTCCACTTCCCGGATTCTGTGTTCGCTTGATTTTATCGAAAAGGCAAAGGGTTGAATCTGACCGAAGGTGAAATCCTTATATCATTTGATGTTTCATCACTTTTTCCAAGTGTACCCATACCAACAAATATGGAATATTTAAAGGAGTTACTCGAATATAACAACATATTTAAGAATTGGTTGATCTCAACCAAACTCTGCATGAGCCAAAATATTTTTCAATATGGGAAATTGTTCGCCTTTCCGGGCTAAACTGTTCATGAATCGATTTGAAGCGAATGCAAAAGAAAAATTCGAGTATTTCCCTAGGGTTTGGATTAGATATGTCGATGATATTTTTGCTATTTTTGATACAAAAGCCACAGATATAGATAACTTCATCTCAAAATTGAATAACTGCTTCCCGTCCATCAAATTCACTTATGAATGCCAAAATGATGGCAAATTACCTTTCTTAGATTTACTCGTGATCAAAAATAGCGAAAACAGCTTAGAATTTGATGTTTTTAGAAAAGAAACACATTTAGATACATACCTAATGACTTCAATAACTGTTTTCAGCACAAAATGGCAAGTTCAAATTTTCTAGTACATAGATTAATTTCATTCCCTCTGATCAAAGAAAGATTCAATGCTGAGAGAAGTGTTGTTTATAAAGTGGCTGGAGTCAATGGCTATGATATCAAAATAGTAGATAAATTCTACGACTTTTCAAGTGGATAAAAAGAACTCTAGGAGAATCCCAATCCCTTTCAACCCCAAGTATACGAAGGGACTTGATACGGTTTTCAAAGACTTAGGTTTGAAAGCGTTTATCAGTCTGGGTCAAAACTAGGCAATTCATTAGGCAATCCGAGAATATACGAAATAAGTTGTAATAATTGTGATGAAACATATATAGGCCAAACCAGGCGACCCATAAAAATAAGGTTCAAAGAACACAGCACATTTGAAATATGGCAGGTTAGATATATATCATAACACACATATTACTAACCTCAAATTAGTCAAGCAAGTTAATAATATTAGAAAATTAGACGCATATGAAAGCTTAGAGATATTTAAGAATAGTAATAGAGTAATGAGTAAGGATAATGGATCTATTCCATGTAGCCCTCTATATAGTTTAGTAATATAAAAATTAAGATTATCATGTGAACTCAACCATGACAAACATCAACTTGACGGTTAGTATTTTTTACGGTTGGGTGAATATATACCTAGTACATAAGCAGCACACTAGCATAGGATACTTAGTTTCAATCTTCTCCTGAAGATGCTAACATAGTTAGCGAAACACGTGTGGAGGCGTTTGAAAAATCGGTTTGGTTAGTGGTAAAGGTTCCAGTCTTCGATATATAGACACATACAACCTTCTATATGGACAGTTGTATATGTGTCTGTTCAGAACTCAGATAATAATTATTGTAAGTGTCTATATTCAGACAGTTGTAATTGTTCATTTAGACACCTGTAGGCTGTAACTGTCTATTTAGATAGTTGTAACTGCCTGTCTAGGTTGCTTTTACAAACTTACTGCAATGAGAAGAGTAAGAGTATGGTCACCTGATCTGAAATATATCGTTAAAGGTAACTCAGAGTAACCGTTAGAAAACTCCTATGTGAAGGTATGCAAAATAAGGAATGTCAATAGTAATAATACTCAGGTTTCGTTTCATGAGGATACGAGCTTCCAGAAATGAAATATATTCTTCAGCAAACATACCTTCATATTAAATAAAAGCAGTATTCCTGCCAACTTATACTACACTGAAGATCATGATTGTTTGTCTATATTATGAATATGGATTTTATGAAAATCGATCAGATATTGATCAAAATATAAACAAACATACTGATGGTTTACAAAACATAAGTCAACTGTCAGAGTTCCTACATCATTACTCAATTCAAATCAAGGTAGTTTCTAAAGGATTGTGAATGCAAACTCTTCATTGCTGGATTGAGTTTATGAACTCTTAATTGTCTGCAATCCTTACTCAGAGAAAGTTCATGAATGCAGCCCTAGATAGTTATACCTGTCGATACGAATCAATACACTGCAAAAGGCTGAAGCCTGCAAGCAATATCTTAGGGGTCAGATCTAGTTTTAGTAATATAGGAATAGGAAGTCCTCAGTGATGTTGTCAAATAAACTACTTCATTATAAAAAATATGGAATTATGTATAATGGTTATAAATATATTGATATGTCGGGTGAAGAGAAGACCTGGATTTGATTATGATTATTACTTTCAACAATATATAAATATCTCTCAATTATAATAATGATAGTAATTGAATTGATATCGAATAAATGGAGCATATTATTGTAGATAAAAATCTCACAAGTACAAATCAATCGATGAATGATGGAATAGCTAATTAAAATTAACATAATATCATGGGGCTAAACTGTCAGACTTAACCCATTAGTTCAGTTGAATGTAACGTTTTTTTCGGTTATTTTCATTCCACGACATTTTAAAGTTTATATTTAGTATTAGAGAGGTGAAAATAACTTATCTTCAAGGTGCATTGTACTTCGATTGCAGTCAAATGTACCACGACTTTCTCACTGCGAAATTGTGGTGAATTTTTCTGACGGATTTTTCTCCGTGAATATTCAAATATTTTTTCAACTATTCGATCAACTTATATTCAAGTATTCGAAAATTTATTCAAATATTCGAATATTGAAATATCCGATATATCGCATAGTCGAATATTCCAACATCAGAGATAGATCGAATAACGGACATATCGAATATTTCGATATATTTCAAATATCGACCTTTGATATATGATTCTCAATATCACCCAGCTTTAGTTCCAAATGTCTTAATATACCGAGTGACACAGGAGACATGTAATAGCCTGTAGTTTTATTATTTGAAGAGATACAAATTTTAAAATCACAAGGGTTATATTATCGATGATGGCGCTTCCCTTGAACCAATGACAATTTTTTTCAGCCTGTTCGATTGGAAGTAGACCCTGTATATTTCTGTAGTCATTCGCCTTGAAATTCTCTATTCAACTATGTATCACAATTTGATATTCGTTCATAATAGAAGACAGATTCTTCAATTATTATGATAATATTGAGTAAGAATCAATGTACATACCTACATAGTGTTTCGAGTTTCATTATGAAATGCATGTGTTTGGTATCTCGTTACCTCATATACCTAATGATCATAATAATTGGAGTTGGCTATACTTCTTCAAAAGCAACTATCATTTTTAACTCGTTTGTTGCTATCAAAAGCAATCTCAGGATATGTGAACCTATAAGGTTTCAGCTACAGAAATACCTGTGCCAAGTAAATAATGAGAATTGAAAAACTCCATGTTATCACGTCATCAGACTATATTATCAAGTTATAAACTCATGCAACTCATAGGCCACTTATATGAAACAAGTGATGCATATATGCTATATTTCAGAAGTACCTCACAACAAAGAATCAACTTTGAAGGAATGCTACCCAATAAGATGTAGATACCACATACCAACCAGTAAGCAGTCACTCCGAGAAGTTTCATCGTTGACTAACAAAGAGGTTAAGAGAATACCCTAATAACACACTTATGTCCCATGGATATCCTTAGGACGTACTGTCGAGACATTCAGGACGTCCATAGGACGTTGGTATTTGGTACAGTGGACGTCCATTGGACGTCTATGGGACGTACAAATGTCGCACTTGAGGACCAACTAGGGACGTCCTTGAGGGATGTCCCTGGGACAACTATCGAATACCTAAATCCGACAGTATTCCTCATCAAGTACTACAGAGGACATCCTTAGGACATCCATAGGACAACCTATCAGCAACGCTGAGGGATATAAATTGGATGTCCATAGGATGTCCCAGAGACGTACGAATTATTCTTGAATTTGAATTTTTCTGGGTCCCTCTAGAACCAGATCTTGCATAACTGATTAGGACATCCAATTGAGTTGATGGTCCGTAGAAGGTCCCCAAATAGTTTTCAAAGGATGTCCAATGGACTTACGTGAAGGACATTTACGAGGAGTACTTCATAGCCTACGAGCAATCATTCATCGGCGAGGTGTAAGTTAACGTCCTCACAGGGACAACATATTGAAAGTACCGACTGGGACGTCCACTGGACGTTATTTCTAGGACATTGGAAAAGTACAGTTCATGTACCAATTGGGACCTCCGACGGATATCCCTAAGGGACATTTCGATTGTTATACGATCCTGGAAATATTAAGGGCGTCTGTGCAGAGATATTTGAAGGAATGTACCATCAGGGACATTTCATAGTTGTCTAGAAGGGACATTATATAAGATCTGAAGTCATGCCAGAATATGTACTACCTGGGACATCCGATGGATGTCCCTAAAGGACCGTTTAAAATCATATCCCATCAGGGACATGCCAAGGACGCCCTTGCATGGACATTCTACAATATGTACCACGTGGGACGTCTAAGGGATGCTATTTCTAGGACATTTGAAATGATGTACCAGCTGGGACATTCCGTGGACGTCCTTGCTCGGACATTGCATGAGATGTACGGGATGGGACGTCCCAAGGAAACTTATTTCTGGTTCGGGACATTCGGACGTGAATTGTATCAAATAGGGACGTCCCTAGGAGGGATATATCATTGTGTCAAAATTGTTTTCTTGAAATCTGGTATGTGTCTGATTTATGATGAGACGGTTATATTGTGAAATAAAGAAGTACTAGAACTCTCAGATCCAGAGGTGGTTGAAGAAAATTGTCATTGGGTTCTTCTTACGTACCTTGTTGCGCAGCGTCGATCGTGGGATGCCGTATATCACCGCCGCACGTCGGGTGCCGAGTTTGCCCGACTGGATGTCGCGCAGCGCCGCCTGCAGCTCGTCCTCGGTGTAGGTGCGCCTGCCAGCGACCGCCGACATCCTGGGCTTCGCTCTGAAATCGGAACTGAAATTATGGGGGAGTGAGGTGGGGTCCCAGAACCGTAAGCAAGAAGAATAAATAGTAGTTCAAGAAATAAATAAACATCCTTTTATTACGAAAGCGTCGAGGGGTCACAGAATTATAATTTTTTTTTTAAATGAATCCAATATATTGGAAAAAAGTTGCATATTGAAAAAAAATTCAATATCGGAAAAAAATCCAATATATCGGAAAAAAATCCAATATATTGGAAAATAAATCCAATATATACAAGGTGTTTTTGAAATAAGTGCACATATTCAGCACATTAATATGATACAGTCTAAGGAATATTCCCATATCAGATTTTTCCTAATTCTTTTAATTAACGAGAAGTTTCATCCCAAAAATTGGAAAAAATACGAGAAAAAAATCAAGTAAGCCACTTTTGAACAATTTAAATGTTTGAACTCCACATGATTGTGCCTATCGCAAGGAAATTTGAACAGAGGTGACGTAAAATTTGCTACAGTGTAGAACTTTGGGTGGAAAAAAGGGAATAACCTCAAATTTTATTTTGATCCCTGAATTTTTTTATTAGTGCTATTCGATAGTCCACATCGATCTTTCTCAGTGTTTGAAATATTTGCACTTATTTCAATGCCACCCTGTATATACTGTATAAGCTTCCATGGTGCCGAAATGTAGTATGGTTGGAGACTGAGAAAGCCCTGAAATTTCAAAATGATTGTAATTGGGGTTATTGAGTTATCTCAATGGAAGTCTTGAAAACACCTACATTAAATTTGGAGTCAAATTGAATTTTTATTGTTTCCCCAAAAACTAAGCTAGATACAAAAATCACACAGGAGATGAAAAAGTTGGCATTTGGTTCAATCAATAAAAATATGAAACTCAGAAAAACTGGTGGCGTACAATGACATTCACCAAAAATATCGATAAATTCACCCACTGTGACGCCACTGGGAATATTATTTCGAATCGAATTGCAACAGAAGAAGCAACATACCACTATTAACAAAACCACAACGTTTCATTGAAATTGATGAAAAGACAACTGAGTAATGAATAACAAAACTTCATGGAAATGTCTATACCCTGTATCACGAAAACGAAGCAAGTTCGGACGCACGTTCATATGAAATTTATTTACTAAAATATCACAAGGAATCAACCCTTAATTTTTTTTGGTGTTATTTAGATACACCCTGTATAAAAATAAGTTTCCGGAATTTAAAAGATTTGTATAGAATAATGACTTATTAATTATTAATAGTATCATTCAAAGTGAAACACGCTGTATTCAGGTAGGTCAATTTCGAGGAAGAATCTCAAAAGTTTGGGAAAAAATCCTAAAATGTTGAGATAAAATCTCCAAATTTTGAAATTTTGATGAAATTGTTGCGCTAATATATATATACACAGTGTGTCCCACTTTTCATGAATACACCCTAATATCTTTCTTAGATGTACTGGTGATCCAAAATAGCGAAAACAACTCAGAATTCGATGTTTTTGGAAAAGAAACTAACACATTCACATACATACCTAATGACTAAAATCACTGTTTGCAACACAAAATGGCAAGTTTAAATTCTCTAGTACATAGATTGAAAGGTTGTTCATACAGTGGCTGGCGTCAATGGCTATGATATCAATCCAATCCCGTTCAATCCCAAGTTAAACGAAGGGACTTGATAAGGTTTTCAAAGACTTAGGTTTTGAAAGCGTTTATCAGTCTAGGTCAAAATTAGGCAATTTATCAGGCAATCCGAAAGATAAAGTGGACACACTTGAAAAGTCGGGAATATACGAAATAAGTTGTAATTATAATATATATATAAAACATATATAGGCTAAACCAGGCGACCCATAGAAACAAGGTTCAAAGAACACATAGCACATTTAAAATATGGTAGGTTAGATAAATCGTGTGTAGCCGAACATATGTTCAATCACAACCATAACACACATATTACTAACCTCAAATTAATTGAACAAGTTAATAATATTAGAGAATTAGACGCATATAAAAGCTCAAAGATATTTAATAATCTTCTCCTGAAGATGCTAACATAGTTTGCGAAACACGTGTCGTGGCGTTTAAAGAATCGGTTTGGTTAGTGGTAAAACAGTGTAGTGTCTAATATCTCAGTTATTAATGATGAGATTTTCTTGGAATTTTGGTGGTGATTGTGTGTTAGAAGTATGAAGTATTTAGCAGAGTGAACAGTTTCATTCACCATAGGCGGCGATGTTGAGGGGTACAAAAGAGTCCTTTATTCGGGAAAAGGATATTGTAGGGCTTATTTCAAATAAAGTTTCCTCAGATTCAGAATCAGCATTTCTAAAAAAGCATTCGAATTATGATTTCAAAATGTCAAGAAAAATTCAAATCCGTTTTTTTATGACTACGCCCTAAAATATCAGTTATTAATGATTCGAGTTTTTCGAAATTGTGATGGCGATTTAATGTTATCTTTCACCACCGATCGTTATCAACATTTTAAGAAAATCGCATCATTATTTACTGAGATTTCAGGGTGTAGTCATGAGAAGTGGGATTCTGGAATATTTTTCATTCACCTCTTGGAATCTTGGAAACATAAATTATGGAGTTTTGGGAGATGCTATATCTGAATCTGATAAAAATGGTATCTAAAATAACCCCTAATATCCTTTTTCCGAATAAAGGCCTTCTTTACCTCCTCAACACCGTACGTCAATGGAAAATAAAAATGTTCACTATGCCAAATTCTTCATTGTTCTAACATACAACCGCCACAGAAGTTTTAAGAAAATCGCATCAATCATAACTGAGATATAAGGGTGTATTCAAGAAATGCGGGACACACTGTATACCGGGTGTCCCAGTATACCTGTTCCAATAGATTATCTCAGCCATTTCGATAGATGAGAATATTTGAAAATTACAAGATCTAGTACAATTCTAATAATTTGAAATTATTACTGAAGTCAAAATCAAGATTACAAAAATATCGTAGAAGTCAAAATCAAGATTACAAATATATCGTAGCCTATACTGCAATTCGTTCAATTTGAAATTTCAATTGTCGTTTTCTCCATCAAATCAAATTTAAAATACGACGTGTGACATCGTTGGAACGGTAATTTAAAGTAGAAATCAAAAATTGCAGAAAATATACAGGGCGCTATTTGAAATGAGAAAGTTAGAGTCACTTCTGGTCAAACCGGAAATGACTTCCAATTTTTGTTTTCCTCAGTTGAAGCTTCCTTGAACGAATTGGAGATCAAGAAATTTTCTAATTTTTATTTTTCGAAATGGTTGAGATACTTCATTGGAACAGGTATACTGGGACACCCGGTATATATAATAAGATTATTGCCCAACAATTTCAATATCAAAATGAAATCGGTAGGTAACATCAATTCAGTACGATTCTGTATAACGAAGCAATTATTTTACTACAAGATTAGGCTTTCCGAAACTAGAAACGAGCTCATCCATCACACACAGGGCAATCGCATTCGAGATAATGGCAGATAATGCCCAACCTCTACGCGAAATCAAAATTATATATTGATGAGATGTAATTTTAATCAATGTGTGAAATTGCCGGTTAGATATTAGTGTCAATGCATTTCTCACTGCGCGCCGAATACGAAGTAGGACAAGGGCGAAATTGCATTATATCTGCATGCAAACCGAGATTGATAGGATTGTGTTTCGAATAGATTAGTTGACTTTGTTTTGACAATCGTTAATTGAGATCCTAAAGGTTTAGGTCAATACGATTCGAGCAGAAATGTCATGTTACATAGTAATGAAATATAAATGAGCGACAAAATGATTTATATACTGGGTGAGCACGACCGCAGTTGGGTGATACTACATATATAGTAAACATCAAAATATGAAGATTTAACCCAACATGCTTTATATTAAATTGTTGCAGATACAAGGTCATGAAAATTTTTATTTCAAATTTTTCCTTAACATTGGTCCAACATCTATTTTGAAATTATCTTCGTTGTTGGCGATGTTATATTGATTGTCATCATTGTTTCATGTCTACTTTCCACTATCACTTCGCCTACTACATATAATTTAAAATTATTGAAATGTTATTAGTGAAACATGAAGCTCTTCAAGAGCGAATAACGCAAAAACCGTTAGAGTTAGACAGTTTGAAGAGGAGTACATACAATCTTCATGTAAAATTGTACAGGCTTTCAGATGTTCCACTTATTTTGATCACCATTTCACGAAGAAGATATGATGTGAATTACCGAAGTAAAACAGTGTCACTAGCGCCCTCTATGAGAAATCACAAAATTAAATGCAGATTCGTATTTATCATGTCCGAAAACACCAAACTAGGAAATGCCATGTTCATGTTGTTGAAATTTTCAAAGTTATTGAGAAATTTTGAAATAAAATATCTCCCTAAGACACCCTTGTATCTCCTAAGCCAGCAACATTTTTATAAGGCATATTGGGAATATTAGTACTTCAGTGTTTACTATCTGTATCTCAGAGATTTTCCATTCTCAATGATTCACCGTGTATATATCTGAGCAAATACAATAAAAAATGATTTCATATTCGAGTGGATTCAAAAGAATTCACGTACCTATCGTATTGGATATTGGAAGGTATAAAGAAGTATTTTACAATCGTGTTTCTTTGTAAAACGTAGAATCACCGGTTTTGACACTATTTTGAAACTGTCTCAATTGAAATAAAAACTATGAAATATATAACAGTATTCTTAGAAAATTACTGAACGTCCGTTTTAGTAGTTGCTACAACCTTGCAATAAGATAGCGATTACATTGAAATATTGCAGCAAGAAGCAATATTGTTAAAATATTACTTTGCTTCGTGAGTGAATAACAAATACAAAAACATTCAAATATTTCCGAAGAATTCAAAAAGGAATTCAAAAAGTAATAAGTAACAACAACAAATAAACGATTTCTGATTCCTAAAGAAAAAGAACAATATATTCTTGGATTATTTAAATATTCCCGATAAATAT